GGGGGGGCGAGTTTTGACATGGGCCTGCGGCCGCCTTGCAATGGTCTCAACGCTGCAACGGTCCATGCGCCCTGCCACCCCCACCCCACCTGTAGAACAATTCCCAACACCAGGCACCAAAGGGCTTCCACGCGCAGCACCACCACGCGCCACATGCCCTCTGGCGCCTGGTCCAGCTGCGCCGCCAGGTCAAGGGCATGGTGGCAGGCCAGCAGCAGGTAGGTGCAGATGAGCAGCTGATCCCTGCAAGTGTGCAAGCAAGCAACAACAGCCTTCAGCACGGCTGCGGCGTCAGCGCCCAACATTGAGCGCACAAAACACCTGGCTTGGCGGAGATACTTTGCGCCGCATGTCACAGCCCACCTGTGCCGGCTGTACCAGTGCTTGGATGGGTTGAGCAGCAGGAGCAGCAGCGGAGCCAGCACGGCCAGGGCGGGGAGCAGGCTGGAGGCCAGCCAGCCGGGGTGGCAGTCAGTGAAGGGCGGCAGGAGGCAACACGCGCCATGGTACACAAGCAGCGACAGCAGTGCCGTCATGTCCACCTGCAGGCAGCCGCCAAGCACGCACGAGCGGTTGACAGCTGGCTGCAGGGCGCGCCACCTGGCAGGCAGCGACTTCAATGCTGGCGCCCTGCTCAATTTCCTGCTTGCAAGGCCACCACCCACCCGCGCCAGCCGCGCGTTGCGCCAATGCTGGAAGCGGCGCTCCATACGCAGGTCTGAAAATCGCAGCGTCTTGGCGCTCATAGCCCAACTGGCAGCCCCGCTACTGCTGCCGCCACGATGTGAGAGGCCGAGCAAGCTGGCGGGACTGCCAGCGGAAGCGCTGCTGCCGCTGCTGGCATGGCTGTGCTCGTCGCCGCCCGTGCCGCTGCTGTCCTCGTCGTCGCTGCTGTCAGCACTGCTGCTCAGCTCAGGGTATTGAGCATCGATTCCGGGGCCCCACGGCGAGTGTTCTGCGGCCCAGGGAAGCAGGGCGCGCGATGCGACTGGGTGACGCCAGCAGGTGGCCCAGCGGATGGTACCAAACAGCCACCTGCAGGACCAACCTGTGGGGTGGAAAGTGCTCTCCAGGCGTGCAGCATGCTCCTGCAGTGCCCCTCCATGTCGCCGCGACAGCTGCGCCGCCAGCAGCAGCGCCAACCGCAGCTCCCTGTGGGCAGGCAGGAGCGCAAGGGCGCAGCGTGGCGGTGACTGCCAACCCAGCGGGTGTCTGCCAAAACTACGACCCCTCAGCTTTTGCATCGCCCCCAGCGTTGCACTCACTCTTGGGGGGCCGCAGCTGTGGAGGTGTAGGCCAGCAGCAGGGCAGCGGAGGCGCACGCTGCCGCCGGTGCGCCGGGGGCGGGGATGGGGATGCACAGGAAGGAGGTGGCGCCTTCTGCTGCGTTCAGGTGGCTCAGATCGGCCAGGCGGTGTATTCTGCAGGGTGAAGAGCTGAGAAAAGCTCGGTTGGCAAGGGTATTGCCGGGCACGATGCACAAATGTAGTACGGAGACTCACGCTGGGCCCTCCAGCGCGCCCGTTCGGCCCGTCCGAAGCGTGCCTCCCACGAGGCTACGCTCGGAGGGGGTGGCCCAAAAGGTGGGGGGGTCCTGAGCGCCCCGCAATTCGCTGCTAACGAATGCAAGACCCTGCCCCCGGCCTCCATCCACCGCAAGGGCCACCCTGCGGGGCAGGTAGGGTGCCAGACGACGGGGATTGCGAAATTATCACGTGATGAGGGGCGTTGGCGGGCCAAACCGAGGGAAGCACCACACCAATGGCCGTAAGTCGGGCGCACCTGAGGGAGCAGGCCGCCCCAAACGCCTTGTCATCCAGCACCGCCCTTTGAGCAGCTGAAAGGGGCCGGGAGAGGACTGCAGCAGCACAGGCGCAGGCCAGCGACACCACTGGCGCCTGAGCGTCCTGCATGGCGCTCTGCATCACGAGCCTGAGATACGGAGGCCTTATGCATGGAATTTGGCGACATTTTGGGCACGGGCAGTACAAACACATGCACGGCCCACAAGGGCCGCTCGAGATCCCTTCTTGTGCAGCTAGTTTATGTGCAATTGAGTGTCATCGCAGGCAGAAGGAGGGACATTATGAGCGGCGGCCGCGTCACCTTCAAAATCGTGAGTGGATCGGCGCCGGGCGTGCAATTGTAGCCTGCATACCCAACGGCACTGACCGGGCAACACGTCTGGCCCCGCAGATCCTGACCAGCGACCCGAAGCTGCCATTCCGAGTCTTTACGGTGCCAGAGGAGGCCCCTTTCACCGCGGTGCTCAAGTTTGCAGCAGAGGAGGTGCGTGGGGTGCAGCTTGATGGCCGAGAAGGAGGGCCTGCGGCTCGGCCGACCGCTGGAGTTTTGCCACCGCCAGCTTGCCGTCGCGTCCCAGCTCCTCGACACTTTGCTCCCATCTTCTGTTTTCTGCTGCACAATCCGCAGTTCAAGGTGCCACCTGCAACCAGTGCCATCATCACCAACGGTGCGGGAGGGGCGCTGTCTGTTTGGAAGCAGCCGCCGCTGCGGGCTGAGGTACCGCCAGCAAGTCTCCGCCTGTTCCATGCCTGCAGATGGCGTAGGCATCAACCCGCAGCAGACGACTGGCAACGTGTTCCTGAAGCACGGCAGCGAGCTGCGGCTCATCCCCCGAGACCGTGTGGGCAGCAGCCAGCAGCAGCAATGGGCCACAGCGCCGGCAGCAGCAGCACCCTGCGGCTCGGCACCACAATGAGCTCTGGCCGGTTGCGATTGGCAGTATGTGCCCAAACCGCCGGCTGGCCGGGTAGGCATCGCGTCCTTGCAAGTCCGATTTACATTCGTTGCGAGCAGCGGGGCGTCACAGCCATTGCTGCGGCCGCCGCAAAATAGCAGTGCTCCATACTAGCTTTCCAGTTCCGCATCCCCTGTTGCCAACTGCATCCCTGAGGCGCCGCCCGTGCGTCGACAGCCCCTGCCACTTTCAGCGCCTCCAAGCCCCTTCACTTCATGAGGGGGAAGGCGATGACGTCGCGGATGGAGGGTGAGTCGGTGAGCAGCATGACGAGGCGGTCGATGCCCATGCCCATGCCGCCCGTGGGGGGCATGCCGTACTCCAGCGCCGCCAGGAAGTCCTCATCCAGCACCACCTCGTACGCCTCCTCCTCGCCGCTGGCAGCCTCGGCGGCGCCGGCGCCGTTGGCGACGGCCGCCGCCGCCTGCTGCTGCTGCACGGCCGCCTGATGTGCCGCGACCTGCGCCTCCAGGCGCTGCCGCTGGTCCACGGGGTCGGTCAGCTCGCTGCAAGAGTGGGGGAGGGGTGGAGCCAGCGCGGGGTGGGCAGGGAGATGAGGAGCCGTAGGGGCGAGTTGCAGGCTGCCCACCAGCCAAATCCGCCTGCATCCGCAGCAATGCCTACATTCCCCACCACCACACCTGAAGCTGTTGGCCAGCTCCCGCCCCACCACAAACAGCTCAAAGCGCTCCACCACCCCCTTGCGGGAGCGGTGGGGCTTGGCCAGGGGCGAGATCTCCACCGGGTGGTCCAGCACAAAGGTGGGCTGCTGCAGGTCTGCCTCCACCAGCCCCTCAAACACCTCGTTCAGCACGTGGCCCACTGCGGGCAGCACGGGCAGGGGAGGAGCAGGAGGAGATGGGAGTTGATGGGAGGATGGCAGTCCAGGGCAGGCGGGATCGGAGGAAACCGGACAAGTGTTGGCCCCGGCCAGCAAGCGTGCCGAGGAAAAGCGCCAGCGCAACGCAGGCGGCGGCAGCAGCACCTCACCCGAGGGTGCTTTGAGCACCGCCTGCTGCACAGCGTATGTGTCGCTGTGCTGGCGCAGTGCCTCCAGCGCCGCGGCGCGCGCGGCCTGCAGGCAGCGTGGCAGCGCAGGAAGGCAGGCACGCATGGTCGGCAAATGCTGCATGCAGCTGGCTGCACTTCATGAACTGCGGCTGCAACACTCATGCTCCTGGCGCTGGTCCACTTGGACAGCCCCGCTGGCAGCACCCACCTCCAGGTCGCCGCCAAAGGCCTCAAAGTCCACCCCCGTCTTGTCCCGCACCAGGTCGTGCATGGTGGCACGGCAGAAGGGCGCACCAAAATCCAGCACCTGCCCCTGGTAGGGCAGCTGCAGCTGGCCGCAGACCGCCTGCTCGGGGATGGGGAGAGAGGTGGGTGTTTGAAACGAGGGTGATCAAAAACTCGCATACAGATAGCACACACCTAAAGACCGCCTTGCTGCCGCCACCCCACCCCACCTGTGCACAGGTGCGAATGATTGCCTCTGTGAGATCCATCATGTCGCTGTAGTCGGCATAGGCCTGCGGTACAGGGACAGCACATGTGCTGGTACGACGCTGAGTTAACAGGGGTGAGCAGGATCCGAAGGAGCCGACAGAACAGCTCCCCGCGACACCGCAGGCAATGGCCATCCCCTCCCACCCCCACTGCGCCCCCACCACCACACACACACCACTCACCATCGCCACCAGCCCCGCCCTCGCACCTGGTACAGCTCGATGGATGTGAACTCGGGGTTGTGACGCGCCGAGATGCCCTCGTTACGAAAGATGCGCCCAATCTCAAACACGCGCTCCAGGCCGCCCACCTGCCGCATGCCAGCGGGAGGGAGGTAACAGCGCAGCGACATTGGAGAGCGGGCGTCGGGAGCGGCGGGGGCAGTGAGGCCGTAGCCTTCGCACCCTAGCCAAGCGAGGAGGGCAGCAGTCTTGCACCGCCCGCCTGCCAGCACCCCCACTCCACACACCCATCCCCTCGACAGCTCACCACCAGGCGCTTGAGGTGCAGCTCTGTTGCGATGCGCATGGTGAAGTTGCGGCCCAGGGCGTTGTGGTAGGTGACAAAGGGGCGCGCGTCGGCGCCCCCCGCAGACGACTCCAGCACCGGCGTCTCCACCTCCAGGAAGTCTGACGGCGGGGCGGGGCGGGTGGCAGGGGTGAGGCGCTGATGGAGATGCGCAAACGAGTGTGGCAAGGCGCCACACGGAACAGGGTAACGCAGGGAGGCAGCGGGCTGCAGGCGGCGCGCCGGCACCTGCGTGGCACCCCCGCGTAGGCAGCCCAGCCGTGCGACCCTCCCATGCGCACCCCGCCCCAGCCCAGCACCCACCCTGCTCCTCCAGCATGCGCCGCATGGTGCTGATGGTCTTGGAGCGGGCCTTGAAGGTGTCCACCACGCCCGGGGTCACAATCATGTCCAGGTACCTGCTCGGAGGGTGAAGGGATGAGAGACAAGCGTGAGAGGGAGGCTGACAGGACCAGCTGTTTCCTACATCCTTGTTGGGCCAAGCTGGCACGCGCTGCTGGCTACTTTCTCACGCTGCCCCTGCTCAGTCGCACCTCTTGCGGTACCGCTGCTCCACATCGCTCAGCCCGTGCCACTTGTCGGGCAGTGGCAGCAGGCTCTTGGTCAGCACCTGCGGCGACGCGGAAGGGCGGCAAGGGAGCAGGGGCTGGGCAGGGCGGCAAGGAAGCAGGGGCGTGCACTCTCCCCCCAACCACCGGACTGGGGCCGCCTGCCCACACCACATGCGTGCTGCCGCAAAGTCAGCTTCACCCCCAATGCCCCACCTCCAGCAATTTCGCCGCCAATGCACACACGTGCACCCACCAATCCACACCACCACCCACACCACCACCACACACGCCACCACACACCTCGAGAGACTCCACCGTCACCGACAGCTCCCCCTTCTCGGTGCGCTTGATGCCGCCCCGCACACCCACAATGTCCCCAGAGTCCACCAGGCCCTTAACCGCGGCAAAGGCCTCGGGCTGGGCCTCGTCCAGCACGGCACGCTCAATGTACAGCTGCATGGCGGGGATGGCATGTGTGTGTGAGAGAGAGAGAGGAGCGAGTGGCAGGTGGCGGCAGCGGGAGCGAGTGCGCAGGATCGGCAGCGCAGGACAGCGGGCCAGGCTGGGTAGGTGCAGGCCATGCATGCACAGGCCCCTGCCACCGGCGCACCTGGATGGAGCCGGATGCGTCCACCAGCTTGAAGAAGGCCAGCTTGCCCATGAAGCGGCGCGACATGACGCGCCCCGCCACCGCCACGCTTGCACCCTCCGCCACCTGCCCCTCGCCCAGCCCCGCGTGCAGCTCCTGCAGCTGCGCCGCGGTGTGGGTGCGGGGGAAGGTGTAGGCGTATGGCTCCCGCCCGGCTGCGCGAAGCTCCTGCAGGGGGACAGGTAGGGCAGGCGGAGGCCAGCAGGCAGGTGGGCAACGGGCAGGTCCCCAAGGGCGGCGGCGGCAGCCTCCCCCCCCCATGGCGGCTGTGCCCGAAGGGCAGAGTTGTCAATCCGGCCGATGGCCCACCGCCGCACCTCTGCCTTTTGTATGCGCAGCTTGCGGATGTCCTCATCCGATGAAGTGCTCTCTGGCGCCGCCCCCTTCTTGCCCTTGGGCTGCTTGCCCTGCTTCTGCGGCTTGGAAGCCTTCTGCTGCTGCTGCTGCTGCTGCTGCCCGTGAGGCTGCAGATCTGCCGGCTGCCCCTGCTGCTGCTGCACGCTTGATGCCTCCCCGTTGCTGCAGCAGCCAGGGTGCATAACTTGGGTGGGGAGCAGTGGAGCATGGTTGTTTGCCGAGTGCACATCCAGCAGCCCCCAGGACCGCCCAAACCTGATCCAGTGAACAGCAGCGGGCTGGTCTCCCGCACCTGACTGCCTCTGCTGCCGAGTTGGCCAGGGCACGCAGCCGGGCGCTGTGGGCGAGCTGCAGGCGGTGGGGCAGGGCCGCCGCCGCCACCGCCCTCACCAAGGCGCCGCACGACATGCTGCTGCGGCAATGTGCTATGTGAGATTGCCGTGTCGGCAGGTGCATCACTCTGCCGTGGCTGCTTGCGCTGCTGGGCAGCAATTGGTGGGACTCCAGGGGGATGCTGACCAGGGAAGGGCGCTTGCGTGCAGGCTGAAAGAGAGACAAGAGGCGGTAGATTTGCAAGCGTGTCTAGGGCACATGCATGATGCTTAGGAGGATGGGGTACCTGTGTAGTGCTAACCTTGAGAACAGCGAGGTTCAACCCTGCTGCAATGCATGGGCAATTCTTACCCGAGTCTTGGGCCTTCCCTCTGCCAGCTGCACTAGCTCTGGCATCCTCCAACTAAGTTGCGACTTGCTGGGAGCCCCACCAGCGCTATAAAAAGGCGGGGCAACAGCGGCCCAAGGTGTTTTGTGAGATCGCACAGTGGGTGCGCCGGCCAGGAAGCCTCTGGAGAATAGCGAAGGCGGGGGCGGCACGGTTATCGCCCGCTCCCAACATGCGGGTGGTCTCGCTGTTGCCTTCCGCCACCGACACCGTCATCAGCCTGGAACTGGCAAGCCTGCTGGTTGGACGCTCGCATGAGGCAAGCCCCAGCTTCTACAAGAGACATGCAGTTGCCGCCACCCTGCCACCCTGCCGCCTCTGTCCTCCTAGGCGCCATGTTGCTTGCTGACGGTTTCCCGTTCATCATTGCCCGTGCTTGCAGTGCGACTGGCACGAGGTGCAGCACCTGCCGGCTCTAACGTCCAGCAGGGTTGGGGACTCCATACCTGTGGATGAGATTGACGCGGTGATGAGTGCCAGCGCAGCTGCTGTGCGGGAGATGGCTCTCCTCGGGGCGCACCTGGCTGTCCCGCTACTCGAGTTTGGTGAGGGCTCCATTCGAAGCCATTAGTCAAGTGTTTCACACCTCGGCGGTCATGTGGTGCATTCCTCCTTCCTGCCTATGGAGTGCATCTCCTGCTTTGCCCTGCTGCCCTCGCATCTCGCTCCTGCCTCCACCCTCCTTCCCTCCCCCTTCCTCCTACAGGCCTGTCGGTCTATCACCTGCACATAGAGCAGCTGCAGCAGCTGCAGCCTGATGTCATCTTGACCTGCTTACAAGCAGCGCATGGCGCGGTGCTGTCGGATGGCCTGCTGGAGGCAGCGCTGCATGCAGTGCTGGGCTACGCCCCGCGGGTGGTGCACTGCGCGGCAGAGGACCTGGCAGGGGTCTGGCGTGACATGCAGGCAGTGGCTGATGGGCTGGGGGTGCCTGACAAGGGGCGGCAGCTGGTGCAGCGGCAGCAGCGGCAGATGGCAGACGCGGCAGCCAGCGCACGAGGGCGCGGCAGCCTGCGGGTGGCCTGCATACAGTGGCCGCACCCACTCATGGCGTGCGGCGCTTGGGTGCCCGAAATGATCCAGGTGGGTGGGGAGCAGAGCTTGTGCGGCGATGTAATGGGGGGTTGCTATGAGCAGTACATGTGACTGCAAGAAGGCAACCGACCACCTGATTACATCGCTGTGACCCTGGGTGACCCGCCTTGCAGATGACGGGCAGCCAAGACGTGTGCGGCGCTGTCGACCACGCCGAGGTTGTCTCGGCGCAGCAGCTGCGCAGTGCGGCGCCAGATGTCGTGGTGTTTGCCCTGTGCGGGCTGCCACTGGATAAGAGCGCGCAGGCGGCGAAGGCAGCGATCCGGCGGCTGGCGTCAGTGTGGGCCGAGCTGCCCGCTGCGCAGCACGGGCGGGTGGCCGTGGTGGATGGGGAGCGAGTGTTCTCCCGGCCAGGGCCCTGGCTGGTCCAATCCATGGAGGCGCTGGTGGAGCTGCTGCACCCAGAGGCGCAGGCCTTCGGGCACCAGGGCAAGATCTGGCGGTGGTTGGACGGGAGCATAGATGCGCCTGCCCCGGCACCGGCATAGCATGCAGACCCATTACAAGCCCTGTGCATGACGCTGTGCATCAGCTGGCAACGATTCGGGAAAACAATCTGAGTGGCAGTCTAGGCTAGGAGAGCTATCTATCCATGCTGGAGACCGACAGGTGGCCAGTGAGAGAAGAGAGGGAGGCGCGAGTGAGAGGACGGGTGAGAGGAGCAGTAAACAGGTGACTAGCTGAGGGGCCAGATGTTGCAGGAAGCAATGCAGCAACAGCAGCGGTAACAGAGCACAGATAGACAAGGTATCTGACAGGTGGTGGTACACGGGAGGAGGCAGAAGAGCAGAGGCTCCAGCCGCCCCAGCCTGGCAGGCCGCAGCCCGCACCGGTATGGCAAGGAGGAGCTTCAGCATCGCTCCGCCAGGGCAGGAGGTGGCTGGAGGTGATACTAGGCAGTAGCTGGACAAACAGTGGGTAGCAGATGGACGGTGAAAAATCGCGGGAGCGCTGCGTGGGGGCTGCTGCCGCTCAGCGTCAGAAGCCCAGCAGGCAATCAACGAGTCTGGTTTGGTTCAATTGGCCAGGGCATCGCCAACGATGAGGAGAAAGGCAAGGGCCATGCACATGGAGTAGGCCAGCTGGAAGGGCACGGAGCGGCGGGCGGCGGCACGCTGCAGCCGCTGCGTGCGCTTGGCCTGGGCTGCGCCCAGCAGGCGCTCTCGCTCCGGCGCGTACACAGGGCGCCCCTCCCTGTCGAAATACTTGCCGGCACGCAGTGGTGCGGTCAGAAACTTGGCCAGGGCGCGGGTGGGGGTGAGGAAGCGGATGGCGGTGCCGGCCTCGCCGCGCGCCACCACGCTGCGCAGGCGCGGCACCAGGAAGGCGGCCACCGTCTCGGGGTGCTCGCACAGGATGTTGAACACCTGCTTGCTACTGGGGGTGGCGCCCTCCAGCAGCAGCGGGGTCAGCACCATGCCGGGGGACAGGTTGTGGATGCGCACAGGGTTGGCCAGCCCCGCCGCCTCGTGCTGCAGGGTCTTGAGCAGCTGCGCGATGGCGCACTTGGTGGCGCCGTAGGCGGCATACTGCAGGGCGGGGAGGGCGTGGGCAGAGCCTGAGGGCGGGTGGTAAAACACAAAGGCAGAGCATCCCGGCTGCCCATTGTTCATCGGCGCACGCGGTGCTGCACCAATCGTCCCTTTTCCCAAGCCGCACCTGCGGCGTGGGGCTGCCGTCTGAGCCGGCACCCTCTGTGTTGAAGATGTGGCCGCCGCCCGGCTGGTGCGCCATGCGGCGCATGGCGGCACGCGTGACCAGCAGGGAGCCGAGCAGATTGGTCTGCACCACGCGCTGCACCTGCTCAGATGACTGGGACAGCAGGCTCTGCAGGAGGAGAGGGGCGGACGAGCAACACGGAGGGCAATGCACGGCTCAGCAGCTGGAGAGGGGAGGAGTGCGCGAGGACAGCACGCAGGCGGCCGCTTGAGAGCCCCAAGGAAGCACGGAGGCTACCACGACGGCTGGCAGGATGAGGCAATGCAAGGTTTCAGGGTGGGTGTCCCCACCACACCTGGAAGGATCCCGAGTAGCCGGCGTTGTTGATGACCACGTCTGTGCCACCCAGCAGCTGCTGCGCCGCCTCCATCAGCGCCTCGACGGCCGCCGGGTTGCTCACGTCGCACTCCACACCTGTGCAGGCCAGGCCAGGCGGCGTCACAGGCACACCATGCAGGCATGAGCTGTATGGCGGCCGCTCATGACAGGCAAGTGTGCTGCTTGATGTACGTCGGTGCCGCTGGCCACAGGCAGGGGCAAGCCTGCGCCCCCCCCTCCCCCCCCCGATCAACCCGGCGCCTCACCCATAATGCTTGCATCGGGGCCCACCTCCTCCCTCAGCTGCTGCACTGCCGCCTGCGCGCCCGCCTCGCTGCGGCTGGTGACCAGCACCATGTCACCACACCTGCGGGGGGGGCGGTGCATGGTGGGTAAGTCATCCCAGAGTGGGCGGCGCAGCACTCCAGCAGCAGTAGGTGGACTGGCGCCCCTGGAATGGCGCCCCTGCACGTCTGCCAGCAGAGCAAGCAAGCGAGGGGGTGGTGGCGCTGCCTTGCCTGAGGAACTCCCGAGCCAGCGCCTTGCCCACCCCTGACGAGCCGCCTGTGATGAGGACACGCAGCGGCGCGGGTGGGGAGCGCCACAGGCGTTGCACGCCGATGAAGTCGTGCGCTGCGGTTGCCAGGCCGCCCAGCACGCCGCCAGCCACCACGGGCATCCACAGCGGCGTGAGGGCCGCGGCGCCTGTGGCAGGGAAGCACCAGGGGCGGCAAGCGAGCTGTCAGCTGATTGCGGAGGTGTCAGCCCCTGCCCTGCAAATTTAGCTTGAAGGGAATGAGAGATGCATGAAGCAGACCCGCGTGACTTTGGTGCTGCAGCGTCACCTACCCGTCAGCTGCACCGCCACCGACAGCAGCCAGGCCGAGCCCACCACCATTCCGACGGGGCGGTGCGCGCCCGCCAGCTGCTGGCCTGCCCTGATCTTTGAAGAGAATGGGCTTCCGCTGCTGGTGCTGGTGCTGCCGCCACCAGTCCTTGCCTCTGTCCCCACCGCCTCTTCGCCTGCCCGCGCCCAGGCCGCCCGCCGGTTGTCGGCTGCCTCAGATCCCTGCTGCTGCTGCTCCTGCGCCGGCTGCCGTTCAGAGCCCACTGCATCTCCTGTACTGTGCCGGTGTGGCCGAGGCTTGGCCACAATGTTATTGCCAGCCTGCTGCAGCTGCTGCTCTGTCGGCGGCACGAGCGCTGGTGGCGCTTGGCGGCGGCGGGTTGGCGCGGCGCCCAAACGCTCTGCTGGGTGCCGCTGCCCGCCTGCAGCGGCGTGCACGGGCAGCCTAGCGTGGAAAGCGAGTCTCGAGGGGCCGCAGCCGCCTGATTGCTGGCTATTGGTGCAGACAGCTAGGGCGCCGCCGGCGCCCAAGCTGCAGGGCGCAACCATAGAGCCACGCATGCCTCGCTGGGCGTCACAACCCGCCAGGCCTCTGCAGTGGGAGGAATGAGTGGCGCATTAAGCCGAGGGCCACCTTCAAGTGTCCAAAAACACCTAGCCTTGTCAGCACATGCAAAGAGGCTCCCTCATCAACCTCCCCCCCGTAGCAAGTGATCAGGTCAATTTAGCACCCGTCCCACCCGCTCGCTGCGCCCCTAGGCTGAGAACTGAAACGCCGCGCCCAGGCAATCCCTTTGCACCGTGTTCAAAAGCACTGGGATTGCCTCTAGGCACCACTCCAGCGCCTATCAGAAGACCCTAGGTGGGCAGGCCGGAACACGGCGTGAGTTGCGAGCTCGCGTCTGCTGCTGTGCTTTGGTGTTGGCACAGTATTGCGTGGAGCTGTGCAGAGACGGGGTGCCGCAAACGCACGTTTTAGCAAAGTATAGTCCGGCCGCCTCCTGCTTGCCACCGCGCCGCCGCCCACCGCCCTCGCTGCCCCCGCCCCTTGAACGCAGAACTGCTGTTGCTGCAATGTATCCGACGATAGGCCACTTTGATGCATCCGTCAACCCTCTACACAGCGCCTACCCCACCCCCGGCGGCAGCAGCAGCAGCGGCGCGGCGCAAACGCCGCCCGCAGGGCAGCATCCGCGGCCAGCGGCCAACGGGCCGCCCGCGCCTTCGCCACCTGCCTTCCCCACCCTACAAGTCACCATAGACCCCCGGTTCCAGATATCGCCGCCGGTGGGTGCGGCAGCCAACTTGGGGCCAACCAGCAGGTCTTGCATTGCTGGAATGAAATGAAAATGCTGCCCATTCTGGTTTTAATGGTTCGAGCCACTTGCTGTGGTACTCCCGCAGCCCGTGGCCTTGCTCACCAGCTACCCGCCATGCTGCGCTGCTACTCCTGCAGGTGCGGGCTCCATCGCAGCCGCCAGGCCAAGGCGGCCCAGCAGCGGGCGCGGCAGCGCCGCCGCCGCCTCCCGGCCACCCGGGGCCTGGCAGCCGGGAGCCGCTCGACTTGAGCATGGAACGGCGGCTGATGCAGGAGCTGGCCCCTGCCGCCACTGACGGCAGCAACATCAGTGGCACCGGGCCCAGCAGCAGCAGCACCACCGACACGCAGGCAAGGCAGCTCAGTTGGCAGGGCGGGGGCAGGCAGCTGTTCACGTGAACAGCACCCTGCCCGCCCCTGCTCTCATTCTCTGGCTTGCAGCGCTGCCCAGCTGCTGTCCGTGACTCGCTGCTTTCTCTGCCCGCTTTCTGCAGCTTAGGGCGCTACCGGCGCGGGAGGACCCGTATGATGTGCTGCTGGGACGGTACACGGGGATGGGGTACAGCAGGGACGAGGTGGCCATGGCGCTCACCATTGTGGGCCCCGACCGCTCGGACGATGCCGACAGGATAGGTGCGGCCTGTTTTGGGCTGGCTCTCTGGCCGGGCCGCCTGCTTGGCACTGCCTCCACCCAGCATCTGCTGTTCCGGTCGTGCCAACCCTGGTGCCGGCCCTTTGCTGTGCAGTCGATGCGTGCCGCAATTACAAGAAGCTGTGCAGCATGGGATTCCGGGCAGATCATGTGGCGGGGGCGCTGATCGTGCACGAGGGGGACCTGGACACAGCCACCAACGCCTGCCTGGATGCTACTGGCTGATGGCAGCAGCAAACGGTCCAAGGATTGGACTTGTTGCGAATGAAATGTGTGTAACAAGTTGCGGCTGGAATGCCATCAGGCTCAAGGGGTGGCAGGGACAGCATCAAATTTGGAACAGTGCAGGAAGGAAGGAGCAGACAAGCAGCAAGCGGGAATTGGCAGCTTCATGAAAATGAGAAGCCAGGGAGGAGCAGCAGGAACAACAACACAACAGCAACACAACACACAAGGCTGGGAAACAGCTGAGCGAGAATACGGTAAGGACTGATGGCTAAGCCCTCTGCAAGGAGGTCTGCAGACCGCCGGTGCTCAGCCGCCGTGCAGCGTGGAGATGAAGGTGAGCCGGTCGCCGTCTGTTACTGCCGCCTCCAGCTCGCCGCTGCATCGCCACAGGGAGGACACCGGGCACAGCACCCCAGTTCAGTCATGCGCTGCTAAACTGAACTGCCCGGCAATGATAGCATGCGGAATCTTGAAGCATGGCAGCAGCAAACACTGCCAGCAGCGTCCCTTGCCGACCGAGTGCCGGCAGGCAGCAGCCAGGCTCACCACAGCTCCCAGTCTGTGTCGTTCACAAGCACCAGCACCCCGGGGCGCCTGCAGGCGGCAGAAAGAGAGACAGGCAGAGAGGCAGACAGCGGAGTTGGGGCGCACTGCTGTGGCGGCAGTGAAGCAGGTGCATCACATCTCGTCGGTCATGTGCACAGAGTTGAACTCTTGCACCCAGCTAGCTCTGGTAGTTTCCCAGCAGCACTCACACGCTGCTGCCCTTCATGAAGAGTTCGGGCCGCTCGGTCAGCAAGTTGTCTCTTGCCCAGGCCATGGCCTCTGCCACCGTCAACTGTAACGAGCACAGCAATAGGAAGCGGCAGGCTTGTGTGCCTGCTCTATGGGAAACAAAGCAAAACACCGACGCCTTGTCCGCCGCCTTGTCCGCCGCCCTTACCGCCACTGCGCACACCTGGCCTCCGTTCTGCGGAATGTCGGCTTCCACCGTCTTCTGGTTCCCAAACAGCAGCTCGACACCCCCGCTGCAGAAGAGAAGCGTGCACAGGAGTCTGTGTTGCTCCAGCATGGCACGCTGCAGGGCTCCCCACCACACCTCGACAGGTTCCTTATGATCCACGAGCCATGCTGTGGCCGCTGGCAAGCGCACCTGAACTCCAACACGACCCTCACCATTGCTGCCCTGCCTGCAGACGTCTATTCTTTTAGCTAACAGCTGTTGCGTGCAATGTGATCAGAAGGAGTGGCCATCTGGATCACAGAGAGGGTGAAAGAAACGCCTGGAGCCAGGCGGGAGGCGCTAAGAGAAGCCGCCGTGTGCGCCGACAACTGTGCAATGTGAAGAGGGAATAAAGGGGGAACACGCTTCGGCACCTGCTTGCGGTTGGGGCCACCATGAGCACGATCAGCTATCACAGTCCGCTGCCCTTCTTCTTGTTGATGGGCTGGAAGAAGGATGTGATGGCGCCCGCCTTGATTGGTCTGCCTGACACGAGCGCCGCCAAGGCTGCGCTGGCGCCCACAGCCCGTCTCCTGCGCTTGGCTGGCCGCCGCTGCTGCTGCTGCTGCTCCTGGGGCTGCGGCTGCGGCTCCTGTTGCTGCTGGGTGGCCGACAGCTTGGGTCGCCCGTGACTGCCGCCCTGCTGCCGGCCGTTGTTGTACACCGGGCAGTTCGCGCCCCAGTGGCCGGGCTGCGAGCAGCGATAGCAAATGTCTGTTGGCTTGGCCTTGCCTCCCCCGCCGCCGCTGCTGGGGCCATACCCTGTGCCCATCGCGGCCGGGGTGCCGTAGCCCTGACTGGAACTGCCAGTTCCGCGGGTGGCCCCAATCCGCATGCCGCCAACCATCACCGCCTCTGACAAGTCCTTGGGTGGCGGCGGCTCGCACTTGTGGGCTTTCTGCCATTGCAGCCAGGCGCCATCGCTGTACTCCCGCCCCGCCCGCAGCGCCTGATCGAACCGGATCACCACCTGCACGTGTCAGGTGGTGCCAGCTCAGCTCACTTCACGAAGCAACACCACCACAACAACATTCAAAAACGGCATTGCGGAGCGGGCCTGGCATCGTCCTCCTGCAGCAGTCCCCCCGCCCCCGGGTCACACATCCCATACAGCACCCCCCCCACGCACCTGCCATACAGCACCCCCCCCACGCACCTGCGACGTCTTGACGCAGCCGTGGGAGTGGTCCAGCACCTGAAGGCCTTCTAGGCTGCGCACACGGCTGCACAGCGCAGGGCAGCAGGCACGGGTCGGTTGGAGTGAGGCGACAAGCCAGAGCGCAGGGCACACGGCCCCGCCTGGCCCGGCAAAGGCGGCCTGCACACCGCGCACAGCACCCTGCTGCCGCGCGTGCGATTCTACTCAACGCCCCATCAATTCCCTCCCCCCTGCTGCCGTGCATCCACCCCTCCCCACCTCAGGGCCACGTAGGCCTGCCCCACTGCAAAGATGTTGCGCAGTGACACTCGTGCCAGGTCCAGTGTCAGCCCCTGCAGCAGCCAAATGGCAGCTTGTGCTACTGTCACATGTTGGGCAACCTGGTCCAACATGCACGGAGCCACCACCAACAGCCCGCCCAGAGACCACCGTTTTCCGGGCACCCCGAGGCCCAGCGGCACCCCCCTCCCCACCTGGCACTTGTGGATGGTGATGGCCCAGGCCAGCTTGACCGGCACCTGGGTGCGGGTGCAGGTCCCCACGCCCGCCAGGTCTGCAGTGAACACCTCAGGGCCCAGCGCCACCTCGCGGCCATGCAGGAACCGGACCACGGGCACCAGGCTCGACGGCTGGCCCCACCTGTGGGCACATGGGCAGGGGGGAGGGGAGGAGAGGGAGGGGAGGGGAGGCTCGGCGGCGCAGGTGGCCCTCCTGACTGAGGCACCACTGGCGCATGCCATGCAGGCGCAGCCCCAGACGGGCCCCACACTCGCCGAGGCCCCACCCACTGCCCTGCAGGCGCACCTCTGTGCTGTCTGCGCCTGGCGCATCGCCCGGTCGTGCTGCTGGGCCGCGTCGCGACGTGCCTCCTCCGGGCTGCCCGCGCCAGGCAGCAGGGAGGCGTGGTCGCCATCCGTCTTCTTCAGCTTGCGCTTGGCCACCGCCATCTCCTGTTGCAGCTGCAGTGGCAGCAGCAGTAGCAGCAGTAGCAGCAGTAGCAGCAGTAGTAACAGGGGTGAGTGGGTGGGTGGGGTGGAGGGCGCGGTTGGGAGTGCTGGAGATCACTGCCGTGCAGCCACACAAGCCCCCAATGTGCCAGTAGCCAGCAGGCTGCCAGCATAGACAAGCATCAGCGGACCACCGCCAAGCAGCCATGCCAGAGCAAGGGGTGCTCACCTGCGCCTCAAACTCGTCACGCGAGATGACGCGCACCACCACGCCCCTGCTGCCGTTGACCAGCGCCTGGCTGCCTCCCAGCTCCAGGTTCTTCAGCAGCATGACCTGCGAGCAGGGTCAGGGGTGGAAAGCACGGAACGCATGGAATGCATGGAACGGAGCCGCTCCGTTGATGGCGACTGCGGCGCGGGCACAGATAGGACATGCAGGCACAAGAGATGGAGCGAGCAGATAGGGGCAGGGTCGTCCCACCTGGGCGCCAACCTTGAGCTGGATCCGCTTGGCGGCCATGCAGTCCCTGAAGAACTCGCTGTTCCACAGTCGCCGCGTGGCCCTGCACGGCAAGCACGCCGCAACCTAGGTAGTGAGATGTGTTGGTTGGGGATCCCAGCATAACCGCTGCAAGCCTGTGCTGGCCCATGCCCAGCCCCCTGCTGGTGCCAGCATCCCCGCCAGCCGCCCAGCATGCTGCTGCGGTGCCCTCTCACCCCTCGCGATCTGCCCTCAACACCCCAGAGCTGTCGCCCTCCTTATCCGCCAGCGGCGCAACATCGTCGACAGCGTCGAGCACCGCCGCCGTGCCCGGCAGCTGCGCCAGCTCCTCGACATTCACTCTGTCCACGTCGGCGTTGCGGGAGAAGAGCTGCGAGGTGCGAGGGCCAGGGGCGGGCAGGCGCTGAGGGAGAAACGGGGGCAGGGTAGTGGGGCAGAAGCAGCCTCGAATGGCCTGCGCCAGCCCCCCGCTTCAAGCAACCTTCCAGCCTCGAACCACACCCCTCGTGCCCACCTGCGTGGGCTTGATGCCCTCCCGCTCCGGCAGCGCCCTCGCACAGAGGCGCCACACCGTTGCCGCTGCCAAATCGTTGCCAAAGCGAATGGCATTGAGCAGGCGCACAAACTCCTGGTCTTTCTGCCTAAAAACCTGGGTCAGCACCACTTTCTGCACGCAGGACAGATGTGCTTGTGCGGGGACGTGGTCGTTTGGTGCAAGCCTGGGCAGCTGGGGTCCATGCTGCGGCCTTGGCAGCAGAACTGCAGCCAAGCGGGCCCGGGTGTGTTCAAACTGCCCACCTCCAGGTTGCTACGGCTCCATGCGGGGCACTGGAAGGTCAGGCCGCGGTTGAGGAAGGTGTCGGGGGCCATGCCCTGGCGGGGCGCACTGGAGATGGGGGGCAGCTGGAAGAAGTCGCCCGACAGGATGAGCTGCAGGCCGCCCCAGGGGGCGTCCAACCCGCGGATCTGCCGCGTTAGCGCCTCCAGCATCTGTAGAAAACACATACATAAAGAGGCTTTGTCCTCAGAAAGGGGAACAAAGGTGCATGCTGCAGGACAGCACCGCCACCCACCTGGAACATCTCAGCACTAATCATGCTGACCTCATCCAGAATGAGCACCTGCAGGCAGGGTCCTCCAGGAACATCACAACGAGGGGCACTTGAAAGGGAGGCTGCAACATAGCTCTATTTATTTAGTTGTTTGCCTTGAGTGCGCGCAGCCTGCCGCGATTCTCCTTCTTCCACATGCGCGAAAAGTCGTCGGTAACACGAGGCGCGCCGCATCCGAGCGCCGAGTGAACAGTGCTGCCGTTGATGTGGGTGGCGGCGATGCCGGTGGCGGCCGTCACCGCCACCAGCCTGCCAAACTCATCGCCGTGCTTGGTTTGTAGCTCGGCAACAATCTGGTTTAATAAAAAACTCTTCCCAGTGCCAGCATCGCCTGCTCGGCAAGGCGGCAGGCAGGCAGCACCGCAAGTCAGCATGCTCGCCGGGAGGAAGGGGGAGGAGGGAGGAGCAGCATGGTGCATGGTGCTCCTCCCTCAGCAGCAGCAGCAGCATTGTTGAGCACCAGCAACCCAGGCAGAGGCACCTGTGTAAAAAACGTTCTTGCCGGCTTTGACCAGCGCCACAACTCTCTGCTGCTCGTCAGAGAGGGCGATGCTGTCCACCGCCTGGCTGCCGCCGGCCACGTCCTGCAGGGAGATGGGTGGGCAGTGGGCGCGGGCCCCGTCTGCATGCCCACGTTGCATCGTGTTTCCTTGTCACGGCAGCAAGCGCCTCCACGCGCGTGCTGGCCACTCAGCCGGTTTGATCAAACTTTGCAAGTCGGGGTGGGGCAAGGCCAGCCCACCCCTACCTGAGAGAGGCTGCCGCCCACAAGCGTCTCTGAGACATGGGGCCCGGTGGAACCACGGCTCCCAGTGACCTCTACCGTGTCGCTGATATGCGTTGGGGCTGCATTGAGGCTAGCCAGAGCCTCCATGGTGCACACATGCGTGCACAAGGCGGCAGGCAATCTTCGCAGCGCGTGTTGTTGTCACGAACTCGCATTTGTACTGCTGGGCCGCACTGCGCAATCGCTGGCCTGGCTCGATACCCTGTGCCGCCCTTGCCTGACATCCTCAGTGCAATTTGCCCAGCATCAGCACGGCGCACTGCAACCTCACATAGCGTGCACATCGCGTTCTCGTCTGCAGCGTCCGCCCATCGCAATGCAGGCCACGGCGATGGCATCGGCAGCAATCGATCCCTTGGCCAGCACGCCATGCTGCAGCAGGCAAGGCCTCCGCCGAATAGCTGGCACACCTGACTGCTCGTGCTGCATAGCCACTGGGCTGTGTAACAGTTGCTGATGGCCGCTGCGCAGCCTCTGCAGGCCACGGCTGCCCCCGCGCCGGCAACGGCAGGCGCCGGCCCGCCAACCGCAGGGGGCAGCGGCGGCAGGCTTGCAGCCTGGCAGCGAGCCGATGCCGCAGCAGATAGTCGCCATACTTTGGTGCGACCTGCAGGATGAGCACAGCTGTGCTGCCGCTCAACAGGAGGACTTGTCAGCAGGCTGGTGCAGGTGCCTGACCTTCCTCTCGCTGCTACATGCAGGCGGCACGCTGCTGTTGTTGCGCTCTCAGCCTCAGCCTTTCTCCCCCTCCTGCGGCCACCCGCGACCTGGGCAGCAGCAGCAGCACTAGCCTCCAAGCAGCTAGGCGGCGGCGGCAATGGCGGCGTGCCCCCTGGCGGCAGCAGCGGCGGTGGCGGCGGCGGCGGCAGCGACGGCTGGCAGCTGGCGCGGCGGCCGCCCCAGGAGGCCGTCCAGCTGGCGGCCGCAGCGGCGGGAAGGCCCATCCTGCTGACGCTGGTGTCGTTTGCCGTCACCCGCAAGGCATACGGCAAGATCACCAAGCTGTTCATCCGGAATTATGAGGAGGCCACGGGGCGCACCGTGCGCTTCCGCCTCAGCTTTGGCGGCAGCGGCACACAAGCACGCGCCGTCATCGATGGCATGCCCGCCGACATTGTGGCGCTGGCGCTGCCGCTGGATGTCATCAAGATTGCGGATGCCAGTGAGTTGGAGGGGGGTGGGGGGCAACGGAGGGAGAGGGGAGGAGAGTGAGTGGCATGGTGGCAGGCGAGGGCTGCCGGGGCAGGGTGATCATTCAGCTTGATGTAATGCAACCGCCGCCTGCTGCAGGACTGCTGCGCGAGGACTGGCCCACACAGTTCCCCAACAACAGCGTGGTGGTGGAGTCGGTGTGCGCCCTGGTCACGCGCAAGGGCAACCCCAAGAACATAAACGGCTGGGACGACCTGGGTGAGGCCCCCTTCGGCAGCAAATGCCGCCCCCGCACACACGCATGCGTCGCTGTCGCTGGGCAGGAGCAGCAAGCAAGGACAACAGGAGCAGGGAACACTTGAGCAGGCTGTGTGCGCATGCAGCATGCCGCCATGCCACGGCTGAGCGTCCCGACGCCCTCTGCCTGCCTGTCCTGCCACCAACTGCAGCACGCGACGACGTGGCAGTGATCACTGCCAACCCCAAGACTGCGGGGGTGGCGCGCTGGATCTTTTTTGCGCTGTGGGGCGTGAAGCTAAAGAAGGGCAAGCAGGCGGCCAACGATTATGTCACAAAGGTGGGTGGTTTGGTTGTATTATGTCACAAAGGTGGGTGAGGGTTGTACACACCCACCCCAAAAGTTGTTTGGGAGCTCTGCTGGCGGCTGTTGGCTCGCGGCAGCCACCCACTTTGGTGTGCCGGCACCGCCCTTGTCCTGCCTGCCCGCCCGCCTCGGCCCGCAGGTGTTTGACCAGGTGCTGGTTCAGCCGCGGGATGCCCGTGAGGCCTCAGACGTCTTCTATCGCCAGGTGCGCCGGGGGCAGGGCATGGGCAGGCAGGCGGGACGGCGGCTGCGGGCGGCAGGAGCGATGGAAACCTGCACCAACCCACTGCGCTGCTGTGTCCCTGCGCTCTACTGTGCTGTGTGCCTTGCAGGGCATGGGCGACGTGCTGCTGACGTATGAGAATGAGGCCATCTTCACAAACCTGGTAGTGAAGGAGAAGGAGCGCCTGCCATACATCGTGCCAGACAACAACATCCGGGTGGGTGGGTGGGTGGGGGATCCAGGGTGTGCGCCAGCGCCAGACTGGTGGGCGAACCGAGGTGCATGCGCAAACCCTGCCAGCAGCTTGGGTACCCTCTCCTGTTCCATCCTCGCACACACGCGCGTGCGCACACCCGTGCCGCCGCCGCCGCAGATCCAGTGCCCGCTGGCGCTGGTGGACCACAACCTGCGGGATGCGCCGCTGGAGCAGCGCGAGGCCGCCTCCGCCTTCTGCCGCTACCTGTACACCAAGGAGGCGCAGCGCGAGTTTGCGGCCTGCGGCTTCAGGTGGGGGGAGGGAGGGGCCGACGGGCTAGCCCGGCGGGCAGAGGGTTCTTGTTTCCTGGCTGCGGGCTGTGTGCTGGCTGAGGTGGTGCCCACGCCTGCGCCTGTGCTGTCTCGGCTGGCCTGCTGCCGTGCTGCTCACTGCACTGCTGCCCGGCTGCGCAGTGCCACCACGCTGACCCCGCCACCTGCCTTCCCTGCGCCTCCTGCGCAGGACGCCCTACAAGGATCTGTCTGAGGAGTTTGCGCTTCAGCCGGTCAAGGGGCTGTGGACGGTGGAGAAGCGGCTGGGCGGGTGGAAGGAGGTGCAGAAGGAGTTTTTCGATGACACGGTGGGTGGTGTGATGAGGGGCGGGGGCGTGCCAGATGGAGGTCTGGCGGGCCGGGCAGCAGCGCTCCAGGTGTGGGGCGGGAACCCTTGGCGGGGGCGTGCAGTATGTGGCGGTTAGCCTCGTCGCTGACTGCATCGGCCCAGGCCGCCTGCATGCCTTGCAGGGGATATGCTCTGAGATCCTGCGGGACGTGGGGGCGAGGAAGGTGGCGGCCGAGATGGCAAAGAGGTAGCGGGCAAAACGGTGGCGGTTTTGCACCCAACCCTATCCAGCGACCGTCCGCTCCCCCATTGCCATTGCATGGATTTCCCCTGTTGACATCACTGCACTCCATTCTGCAACCCTGTACATGGCAGCTTTAGTCCAACATGCACAGTACATGGCCGAAGCAGTGCGCGCACGTGCGGGGCATGGCAGCCGCAGCGCACAGCATGGCACCCCATTCTTGGAACCCTGATCAGCCGATTTCTCCCGCATCCACGCGCCAGCTGATGCACATTGCGGGCGAACACGCAGCCAAACGACCTCAAGCGCTGGCTGCACTCTCTGCCCCGACAGCTTGCCCTCTGGAACGGCCAGACCTGGATTTAGCAGCATCATGTGCTAGAACTGGCTGGAGCAAGCTTTGGGCAGCCCCCCCGCTGGTGAGTTGCGCATGCATACGTCAAGTGCAGCCTGTAGCCGCGTCCTGGCCTCCCCGAGCTCAATTGGAGGCTGCGGGTGCTGCCCGGATTGAGCGACGGGGGGCGCCAACGAAGCGCGGCTGCGCCAGCCCACTCTATCACCAGGTGGCCCCTGTGCCCCTCCCCTCTCTGCCACCCGCGGCTCCACGCCCCAATTGGGCCTTGGAAGCACCTGCACAGCGGCTGGAAAATGGCTGCGGGGGCCGCGCCGATCTTTATCCTTTGGCCTGCGGTTTCCCGCCGCCAGTCGCTGGTGGCGGGACCCCTGTCCTCGCGCGCAGCCGCCCACCTCTGGTTCCTCGCCCTGCCGCCTCCCTGCAGATCCATGGTTGCTCCAGCAACAGCAGCGATAGCGGTGCCACCAGGCTATGCAGCACCTGGCATCCCGCAGCCGGCAGCCAAGGGTGCGGGAGGGCCCCACCTCGTCCCCAGCTCCGGCAGCACCGAGGCAGCGCTGCGCAGCCAAGAGAGCAGCCCCGGCAAGCCGCTGCCGCCCAAGACGCCAGCGCCCACCCACCTAGATGCAGCCCCGCCGCCGCCCAGCTCGCAATGGCCGCCGTCTGCGCTGACGCAGGCGCTGAGGCGTGGCGGGAGCGGCGGCGGCGCCGTGCCGCTGCAGGAGCCCTGGGGCAGGCCTGAGCATGCGGGCACCGCCGCCAACGGCACCGCAGCAGCAGTGTCTGGACGGGAGGGGCATGCTGTCAGCGAGGACGAGGAAGAGGCGATGCTTCATGACGATGTGCTGCTGTTCAATGCACCTGCCGTGGGGTCGGGTGTGCCAGACCCCCAGCTGCTCGTGCATAGCCCCGACAGCAGCCTGGCTGCCGACGACGGGCTGCTGGCGGCGGCCGATGCGGCACGCAGCAGCGGCCCTGCCTCCCCCACCACCAGCAGCCTGGAGGTGCAGCAGCAGAGAGAGGCAGGCGGCGGGGCGCCGGCCCCTGCTGCAGCAGCAGCGGCGGGCTGCGCAGGCAGCGCGGATGGCGACGGCGACGGCGAGCGCACGCCGCGGCAGTCGTCTGCCCTTCACAGCATGCCGGGTGCCCTGGACGTTCTATCGCCCGGGGCCGAGCCGGGCTTCTCCCTGGCTGAGATGCTGCAGGTGGGTGGTGGTTGGGGCGGCGGGTGGCTATGCAGCCTACTGTGACGCCGCATGGTCGGCAGCTGCATGCCTGCGCAGCGTATGCGCTCGCACCCGGCATAGCTGTTTGCCGTTGTGCGTATGCTTGCCCCCCAAGCCAGACAGGGCATGGCGTTTGAGCGGCGTTGTGCTGCTGGCCGGTCTTGTTGCAGGGTCCCACGCTGCCGCCGCCCCGCGCGCCCGACATGGCGCGCAGCCCCGGCTCCCGCCCAGCTTTCCTCCCAGACCTGCCCCACCTGTCCCAGCTGGATGACGGCATGGGAGGGCTGTCCCCCCGCCGCTCCCTGCACCTGCCGGGCTGCTCGCCGCTGGGGCTGACGGGGCTGCGCGACCCGCCAAACATGCCGGGCATGCCGCCCCTCGTGCCACGCCCGCCGCTGCTGCCGCCATCGGCGCTGGCGGGCGTGCCGCCGCCGCTGAAGGGTCCGCCCGGCGCGCCGCGGCCGCTGCCTGGCCACGTGCCGCCTGGGGGCCTGCGGCGCCCGCTGCTGCAGCCCATGGGCAGAGCGCTGCCCCTGGCGGGGCCACCGCCGCCGTTGGGCCTGGTCAGGCCGCCGCCGCTGATGCGCCCGCCGCCCGCCGGGCAGCTGCCCATGCCACCCCACCACCACGGCATGCCAGGCGGCGGGCCAGCCCTGCGGCCTCCACTGGGTGCTGGCATGGCCAGGCCTGCCGGCGGGCTTCCGCCGCCGCCTGCGCCACCCATGATGGTGCCGGTGCCGGTGCCGGCAGGCGGGCGCGAGGAGGGAGGCGAGTGGGCTCCTCTTGAAGATGGTGAGAGAGAGCCCAGCCCTGAGCCAGCGCACGCAGCGCAGACAGGCAGACTGCCCCGCTGCACGTTCTGCTGTGGCGATTCGTCCCATCCAGCATGCACCGCCGAGCATCCTGGCTGCCTGTGCTGCACCCCCCCTGCTGCCAACCTGCAGAGCTGCTGACTGCGGAGGGCGTGAGGTGTGTGGCCACTGTGCCCCGGGAGCTCATCCAGCAGCAGCAGCAGCAGCAGCAGCAGCGGCAGCAGCCAGCGGCAGCAGCAGGGCCCGGGCCGGGCGCGGCGATGCAGCAGCAGCAGTCGTCGAAGCCGCCCTCCGGCCTCAGCGGCGGCATGGCGGCGCCCAGCGGCGGCACGCCTGTGCCCGTGCAGCCGGTGGCCGCCATCCGCGCGCCCGCCGCCAATGCCGCGTTTGCCGCCATCAAAGCCGAGGCGGCAGCAGGCGCAGCGGCGGCGACGGCGGCCATCCTTGCAGCTCCCACCACGACCGCCCGCGGCCCGGCACCAGCCGGAAGGCCGCCCTCGCGCCCCGCCGGCCCTCCGCCAGCGCAGCAGCAGGTGCAGGCGGCTGGGGCTCCCGCCCCGCGGCGTGTGGCGCCCCCCGGGCGCGACCCCATGCAGTCCCGCCCCTTCCAGGCCTTCCTGGCCATGCTGCGCAGCAACAGCGCGGAGTTTGAGGCGCAGGGGCGCGTGCTGCGCCTGCGGCAGTTCCTGCGCGCAGATGTGCCGCCCAGGGTGAGCGGCGGCGCCAGGCATGCGCCTGAGCCTCAACCACGGGCCGCGCTGTCCTGCTGCCGCTGCGCTCCAAACGAAGACACACCCACACACGCCGCACCACCCACACTGCTAGCTCCCATGCGCGCTCCTCCACCAATCCACGTGCATCCGCCCTTGCTCCTGCCCCTTCCCGCCAGGTTCTGGATGCCGTGCTGGATGCTCTGGAGGCCAACAGCCGCGTGCAGGCGCTGTACATCCAGAACTTTGAGGCGGGCATGGGCGACGCGCAGCTGGACCGGCTGGCCCGCCTGCTGCGCCGCCGCCGCATCTGGGCGCTCAACGTGGGGGAAAACTTTGGGACGAGCCAGGCGGTGAGGGGGCGCCGCCACACTGGGCGTGGGCTGTGGGCAGGCGGCGCTGTGCGGCGGAGTCTCAGCGGCGTGCAGGGGCGCAGCGGGCAGCGGCGGCATGCGCGTGCCTGGTGCCTGTGTTGACGGTATCAGCCTGCGTTGGTGTCGGCCCAGCAGCCTTTCCCCGCTCCCCGCACACCCGCACCACCCCTCCCGCGTCCCCGAACTTTGCAGGCCTGGCGCCGCTTCTGCGACGCGCTGCCCGGCACCGCGGTGGCCCACCTGTATGTCAGCGAGCAGCACCTGGCGGGCACAGACCTGAAGGGGCGCATGCGGGACGCCATCCGCGCCAACCGCAGGTCAGCACACTGCCTTGTGTGCGGCGGATGGTGGTGGTGGGGTGGTGGAGTGGTGGGGTGTAGGAGGCACAGCCGGCCTGCACTGAGAGCAAAGGTCTGGGCCGGCGCCGCCCGCCTGCGTGGCCTCCCGCCTGCCCTGCCCTCCTGCCCTGCCTTCCTGCCCTGCTGACCGCGCACGTGCTTGCCGCGGCTGGCTGGCGCTGCAGGGCTGCGCCGCCGCGGGACCCCGAGGTCATTGTGCATGTGGGCAACATGTGGTGGAACCCCAAGCTGCCACCCTGTGGAGGATCCTACTCGCCACGTGGCGCCACGGCACGCGCGGCAGCCGCCGCCGGCTCGGCCGCCGTGGTGACGGTGCCGCTGCCCGCGGGGGCCAGCAGGGAGAGCCTGAGCGGCGGCGCCAGCGGCGGTGGCGGCGCCAGCGGCAACGCCAGCGCGGGCAGCGGCGCCGGCGGCGCGCAGGCAGAGGGCGGCAGCGCGGGCCGGGCGGGCAGCGCCGCCGGCAGCGCCGCCGCCGCCGCCACCACCAGCGGCGTGGGCGCTGCCTCGCAGCCTGGAGCAGCAGCATGCGCGCCGCCGGCGCTGGGCGCTGCTGCCGGAGCTGGGACGGCAGGCAGCGCAGAAGTTGCTGCAGCAGCGGCGGCAGCCGCCCAGCAGCAGCAGGGCTACTCGCTGCGTGCGGCCCCCAAGCGGCGGCAGGGGTGTGATGAGGATGAGTTCTTCGGAGGCAGCCCGCCGGCCAAGCGCGGCCCCGCAGCAGCAGCCTTTGAAGCCGCCGGCGAGGCCGCCGCCGCACCAGCCTCCGCCTTTGCCCCCGCCGCCGCAGCAGCAGCTGCCGCCATGGAGGAGGCTGGCGACGCGGGCGGGGCGGCGCCGGGCGTCGGGGCGGGGCGCGCGGGCAGCAGCCGGCGCGCGGGCCGCCCCTCTGCGGCACGCCTGCTGCAGCAGTCCAGCGGCCTGTCTTCCGATGAGGATGAGGAGCTGGATGAGGCGTATCTGGAGGAAGGGGATGACGACGATGCCGCATACCTGCCCTTCAAGTCTGGCATGCTGGTGGCCTCGGGTGGGTGCCTGCCCATGAGCGGAGCCCAGCCAAGCGCACGCGCCTGCCCAAGGCTGCACCCGCCTGCCTGCCTGTGAGGGAGCCCCGGGCGACGGCGTGCGTTGCGGTTGTCAGTAGCAGGCCAAGGAGCGCCGGCCACGTGCGCGCTGTCGCCGGCGGCAGGGAAGGGCGGCATGAGCCGGCTGCTGGCACCTCCTCCCCATCCCTGCCCTCGGCACCCCTCTCCCCCGCGTGCCTGCAGACCCGTACGCCGCGCCCACCCGTGCCTCGCGCCGCATCCAGCGCCGCTCGGTGCAGGCTTACCAGGGCCACCTTCCCATGGATGATGAGTTTGTGACTTTCGACCCGGAGGAGGCGCCGTCGCCGCCACGCGCAGCCGCGCCCCGCCGCCGCCACCCGCAGCAGCAGCTGCCGGCCGGCCTGGCAGCGGCGCAGCAGCAGCAGCGCGCCGCGGCGGCGCGGGCCCGCGTGGCCGCCGCCGCTGCGCAGCCGCCCCACAGCCTGCCCGCCGGCATGCTGCCAACGCACAGCGCAGGCGCGGCGTCTAGGTCGCCGGCGGCGGCGCCCGGCGCCGCTCGCGGCGGCGCCGCCGCGCCCCGCGCCGCGGCGACCGCCGCCAAGCGCTCGCTGCACTCTGTGGCGCAGCGCATGCGCTCGTCCAGCGGGCGGCAGCCGTCTGGGGAGCTCAAGGGGCGCCCCAGCTTTGCTGAGCTGGTGGAGTCGGGGTTCATGGCGGCAGGGGCGTACCGCTTCACGGTGGGCATGCAGGACATCCATGCCTCGCTGGAGCCGGATGGTACCATCGTGTATGCGGGGTCACGGTACCGCGCCATCTCCAAGTTTGCCCTGGTGGTCCTGCGGGAGCGCAACCCCTCGCGCCAGGTGGGGCCTGGGTGTGGGAGTGGGAACGCGCACCACCCTGCCGCGCCAGCCGTTTGATTCATGTGAAGCAAGGATGGTTGCCCTGACCCTGACGCCATCGCTGAGGATCCCCGTCGCTGAGGAGCCCCGCCTGCTCCCCTGCCTTCCCCGCAGTCGTGCGACGGGTGGAAGGAAGTGACGTGGAATGGCGAGAAGCTGGATTTGCTGCGCGCCCGCTTCCAGAGCCACCAGCGCAAGGCAGCGGCACGCAAGGCGGCGGCCGCGGGGCCTGTGGCGCTGCCTGCTGCCGCCCCCTGATGCCCTCCTGGCGCCACCCAAGCGACACGGTATGCAGGCGGCTGCCTGCCGACCGCCCTTCTTCTGATAGTACTGGCTGGCTGAAGTTTCAGCCCTAGTTTCTTTTCCGCTCCCTAGCTTGTTCGCCTTGCCTTCCTGCTTGATCCTGCGCTGTGCCCCTTGGGCATTTGTTGCCTTCAGTGGCTGGCTTTGGTTGTCTTGCTTTGCTTCGAACTGCACCTTGATGGGACAGGGTGGGACAGCTGCAAGCTTGCCCCACCCCCTAGCGCGGGTCCCCGCTGGCTCTCCCCTCCTTGCCTTGCGTTGAGCATCTAGCCCTCCTAGGCAGCCATGCACACAGGTCCACCGCGGCCTACCTACCATTTACAGAGCTTGTTTCCGTCACACAGTTTTTGTTTCCATCCCCACTGCGCCCTCACCGGGCTGACCTAAGCGACACAGAGCCTTCCATCATCTCCGCCACCCCCCACCCAGCCGACTTCTCGGCGATGGGGCGGGCCTGCACTGACTTGGATCTCTTGCACCTTGCACCTTGCACACTACAGTTTTGGGACCCTCAGCCCCGTGAGCTTTCACTGCTTCTGCTTGGTTTCTCTTCTGCACACCGCCACCCCTTGCCCTGCTCTCAGGGAATTGAGTTGGCGGCCACAATGAATGAGGTGGCCCGTTCTTTTCCCTCCGTCACGAATGTTCAGATCACATTTCACAGAAACAAAATGCTACCGAACAACAAGCTCAGTGTGCTCCGCCGCCATGACGCAAGGCATGACATGCATGGCACGGGCGGCAGCCCAAATACAAGCCGTGATCGTCGAGGCACCTGCTCAATTGTTGAGAGTTCGACCATTTGTGGGCAAATGCGAGGCAGGTGTGGCGTCAACCAGGGGGGAACTTGGTGCCTCGGCAGCTCCTTCCAGGAGGACGGCTCCGCGTTGCGCGATGGGCAGCGGGCATTTTCGCGGATTTCTGCCCTTCTGCAACCTTTTACCCTTGCACCGCCTTGCTCTTGCTGTATGTGAGTTAGAGGCAGGTGTCCACCAGCAGATTACCAGCAGATCGCGCGCTCCCAAGCCCACCGAGCCCTCTGCTCACTAGGAACTCGAGCGGTGGGCACATCAAAGCCACGTCTCACCGCGGCTAGGGCCCCAATTGGCCTCGCGGGTCGGCCGCCAACTTCCCCCACCCGCCACCCGCCGACGCCGACGCCATGGGCTCCGCCGGCACGCTCGGCCTTCTCATGGCGCTGGCTGCTGCTCTTAGCCCGGAGTCCCAGCCCTCAGAGGGCTCAGGAACCGTGCAGCCGCTCCAAAGCAGCGCCCAAGGGTGAGGCAGCGGCGACGCCAGCCAGGGCGCAGGCGCCCCGCCTCTGCCCTGCCGGCCGTTCACCGCCCACCGCCTGTGCTCCCAGCAGGTGGTCGCTACTGTGGTCGGACGAATTCAACGGTGCCACGTTAGACCGTGGCAAGTGGGAGCCACAGATTGCAAGCGGCTGCCAGTATGGCATTCCGGGCTGGGGAAACGGGGAAAGGTGAGCAGGTGCCGGGGTGGGGACCATGTGCCTGCTCTACCACAGGGCCCTCCCCCGCTGCCGTTACTGCCGCTGTTATCACCGCTCCTCCAACCACCATGAACTGCCACCCCTGCCCTGGTGCTGCAGGCAGTGGTACACAGACCTGCCGCAGAACCTACGGCTGGAGGACGGCAAGCTGGTGCTCCAGGCTGTGTACGATCCCGCCGCCCGCGCCATCCGCGACCAGCCCTACACCTCGGCCCGTGTCCGCACGTTTGGCAAGTATGCCGTGGCGCCCAGCCAGGCCCACCCCACCATCAAGGTGGAGGCGCGCATCAAGGTTCCCGCAGGGCTGGGCCTGTGGCCCGCGTTTTGGATGCTGCCGGCCGACAACGCCACGGCGGCGTGCAGCGGCTGCGGGCGACACGGGGTGTGGGCCGCCAGCGGAGAGATCGACATCCTGGAGGCAGCCAACGACGCGACTAAGGTCAGCCCTGCTCCGGGGTTGCCAGCTGACCTTGGCCATGGCATCGTCTGTCCGTGCGCCCTGATTGCATGGTTGCGGCCGCCGCCCCTCCCGCGTGCAGGCGCTGGGCACGCTGCACTACGGCGGCCCGTGGCCGCTCAATTCCTACACATCCAACAACTACTCTCTGCCTGGCGGCGCCTCGCTGGCTGGCGACTTCCACACGTTTGGCCTCGAGTGGGATGCCAAGCAGGTGGGTCGGGGTGGGTGGAGAGGGGATGAGTAGACGCGCAAGAAATGCGGGGAGTGGCTGTCACAGCTGCCACCGATAGCTGTTGCCGCGCATCGCCACTGAGACCCTTTCTCAGTGGCTGGGACCCTGCAGATGCGGTGGTACGTGGACGGCCAGCTGTTTGCCACGCAGTACAGCGGCAATGGCACCAGGAGCGGCTGGTTCAGCCTGGGCGCCGATGCCACCTCTCTCGAGGCTCAGCCGCTCCTCAGCGACGCCCCCTTCTCCCAGCGCTTCTACATCATCCTCAACCTGTCCCTAGGGGGCGAGGCCACCGAGTTCACCAAGATAAATGGCGTGGGCATCGCGCCTGCGCAGCTCAACGCCACGCTGGCGACGCCGCAGGCGATGCTGGTCGACTGGGTGAGGGTGTGGGGCTACTCGCCCTGAGATGCAGCGCGTGATCCGTTGACATTCATCAATGCCAACACGATTCATTGGTCCCTATTCTTTATCCTGCACATTTGCAAGATGTAATCTCAGCCCTCCAGCTCCCGCCACTTCACGCCTTGCGGCGGGCGGGCGCACCTACCGCCATTGCTGGCGTTCCTGGCACAGCCCAGGCTCGCTGGCCTTGTTGTTTGATTAGTGGGAATGGGTCACCTGTGAGAGAGGAGGTGCAGCAGCCCATTAGCAGTCTGTCACCTGGCCGTACATCTCGCCCGGCGGGGCAGTGTGTACAGTACACTGTCTGGCTGGCACCTGACTAAACCGCGCTGGAAACGTCTCTGCTGCGGCCCGAAGATTTGTGGCAGCATGCAGACTAGGTAGCGACAATGACGCAAGTCTCCGACACCCCCAATCCGCAGCAACTGGTGGAGCAGCTTGCGGCGGCCCTGGCAGCGCTGCAGGAGCTGAAACTGAGAGTTAGCAGCCTGGAGGCACGGCTGGAGGCACATGAGAAGCAGCGGGAGCAAACAAGCAGCAGCGCGATGTCCTACCTTCAGAACCACCAGGCCCTGGTGCTGCCGCAGCCGGCGCTCAGGGATCAGATACCCAATGGAAGCAGCGCCACGGCAGCCCAGCAGCTGCGGCAGCGGGAGCCGAACGGGGAGCCCTTGGGCGACATGGCGGGGCGGCCGCCGGTTGCGCTTGCCAGTTTGGTGCCGCGGCCCATCGGCCTGGAGAAGGCGATGGCCGCCACCCGCGTGGTGATGGCGCAGATCGTGCCGCCCTCGGAATCCAACGGCCTGGACATCTGCATGGTGCGGCAGCACCTGCGATGGCAGCACAGGAGGCCCACACTTGTTTGGCCCCCGTGCCGCAAAGAGCGGAGGGTGCCTGCCTGTCCTACAAGGAGTTATCCTCTTACGCGCCACTGCATGTGCCCGCTGGTTGCAGGGCGGCACCGTGCTGAGCTGGGTGGACATCTGCGCGGGGCTGGCTGCCAAGGCCTTTGCCCGCGGGCCCTGCGTCACGGCCTCTGTGGACGCCGTCCACTTCCTGCGCCCCTGCCACGTGGGATCCGTGGTCATCGTGGCCGCCATGGTCAACCGCACCTTCCGCTCCTCCATGGAGGTGGGGGTGCGGGTGGAGGAGGAGGACAGCCGCACCGGCGTGCGCCACCACTGCTGCTCCGCGTACCTGACCTTTGTGGCGCTGGCGCGCAAGGACGCGGGCGGCGGCGTGCCCGCCAAGAAGCTGCTGCCCAAGGCGGTGCCCACAGACCGGCACACGGAGCAGATACACGCAGAGGCGGCGTGCAGGTGGGGGCGCCGGGCCGGGGGCGCGGCGTGAGGCGCGTGGTGCGTGTGTATTGGGGGGGTGGCGTGTGGTGGAAGCGGAGCACAGCCAGCCAGCCAGGATGGGGCCGAGCGGCCGGCCTGCTTGTGATGCAGGCGGGATGCTCGGCTGGCGGCACGGGGGCATGTGAGGGCCAGCCTGGAGCAGATGGCGCAGGGCACGGAGCTGCGGCTGCGGCCCATCACCCACGCCGAGGGCGGGCCCACGCTGCCTCCTGCGCTCCGGGTGGACCCCAAGGGTGAGTGCTGCTGCCTGTGCTTGAGCAGCGCCTCCCATCCATGCTGTGCACGCCCCGCCTGCCTTCAGAACATTTGGCCGCTGGGGACCCAACCCTGTGCCTCCCCTCCTCGCTGCCCTGCTGCAGCCGAGGGCTGCAAGCGCCGCATCCGCCCCGCGCTGACGGCGGCGCACATGACCCAGATGGTGCTGCCGCAGGTGTGTCGTGACTTCGGGTGTGCGGACCCTGGCTGCGCCCGTCACCTGCCATGCTTTACCGTCCCAGCCACCTGCCACCCGCCCCTAAATTTCCTTCCTGCATCTGAACGTAGCCCAAACCTCTGCCCTGCCCGCCGCCCCCTCCGTGCAGCACGCCAACTCCATCGGCATCACCTTTGGCGGCCAGGTGATGCGGTGGATGGAGCAGTGCGCCTTCATCGCCGCCTCGCGCGTCGCCCGCGGTGGCTTTATGCTCACTGCCACCATGGATTCCATCTCCTTCCTCAACCCCACTCGGGTGGGGGACACCGTGTACATCGAGGGGCAGGTGGGGCGCAGGCGGCGGTGACGGCTGGGTGGTGGGGTGGTGGGGCTGTGCATGTGTTGGGGGGTGGGCCTGGCCGACTGCTGCCCGCCTGCCCTCCTTCTCTGCCCTGCCTGGTCTGTCTGCGCCCTGCTTGGCCTCCCACCCCACCGCCTCACCCTGCTGCACGCCCCCACGCCCCCCCACAGGTGACCGCCATCTTTGGGAGTAGCGCGGAGGTGCAGCTGAGCCTGTGGGGGGAGACGCCCGACATCGGGGTGCTGTTCCACTGCGGAGACGCGTATGCCACCGTCGTGTCAGGTGAGAGGAGAGGAGAGGAAAGGAGCAGGGCCTGCCGGTTGGATCAGTGGTGCCTTGGGCGCTCGGCTGGGCGGCCCCCACGGCTGGGCCCCCCCCCACTCCCAGGACCCCCCCCCCACCGGCTTGGGCATTGCCTCCCGCCCCCACCCTCATCACGCCCTGCCCCCCTTGGGCCTGTTCCCCACGCAGTGGACCGCACCAAGCGCCCTGTGGACATCCCCTTTGAGCTGGCGCCTGAGAGCGAGGCGGAGGCGCTGCGGTACCGTCTGGCGGTACAGAAGCGGGAGGAGCGGCTGGCGCTGCGCGCCCGGATGCGGCGCCGCAAGAAGATCCGCGTCTCGCTGGACGGCGGCATTCGCGACAGGTGGGGCGGGGCCGGGTCGTGCCCTGCCGGCCGCTGCCTGTCGCCTGCCTGCCTGGCATGCTTCAGCACTGCCATTGGTGCATGTGGCTGTGTGTATCGAGGGGTCCCACCTGCTTTGGCAGCACCATCATGCTGGGCCATGCTGGGTTGCAGGTCTGACTCTGAGTCGGACGATGACGAAACAGAGGTGATGCGGCAGGCGCTGACCGCCACCAGCTCCTCAGCCTCTGAGGACACCGGCAGGGTGGGCCACCCGGCCTGAACCTCGCCATACCAGAGTCTGCCCACAAAGCAGCAGCAGAACATGCCCCTCCTGCGCCCGTTGGAGGTGATGCTCTGGGCCTTGCTGCACTCCATGCACCGCTGCCCCTGCATCGGGAGATGCACCCCACTCTGCCTATAAAGAGCAACCACACACACCAGCACTGCCTCAGCGTTTCCCCCCCGAGTGATGTTGGTCCAACGTGTCCAGCATTTCATGTTTTTCGCCACTCTTGCCCCATTGTAGTGACACTGTAGCGACCGCCCCAATCCATCTGAATGCCTCCCGTTTTTGTTGACTGCCAATGTTGCCTTAGCCTATCTTGTGCCCAGCGTTCCATGGAATAAGCCATTAGCATTCGTGTGTTTTTGTTCAGCGATTGATTCCCTTCAGAGCATACCCCACCGTTTGATTTTGTATTGAGCCGCACTGTACCCCTTGGCTGGCCTGCCTAAACAGCTCAATAGCGCCCCAGCTGTAACACCATGTGGCCGCTGTGGGATGTGCTGGCTTCAGCGCTGTCTCAGCGCCGGGAGCGGGTGCTGCGGATGGATGCCGGCGCCTCAGCCTTGGGCGCCGTCGCTCCCCTGCCGCGCCGCGTAGACACCTCCTCGCTGGCGGCGGCCTTGCCTCGCGCTGTGCGCCCCGAAGGAGCCGGCTCCTCAGAAGGCTTGGAGGCGGGCCTGCCCCGCTTGCCGCGTCCTAAAGGCTGCTCCGACTCGGCGGCAGCGGCGGGCTGCTGCTCAGCCGCCCGCTTGCTGCCACGTCCGCGCCCGCCCTTGACTGGAGCCTCCTCGGCCGCCTCTGCTGCAGGTGCGACCGCAGCAGCGCCCCGCCTGCCGCGCCCAGCCGGCTTGGCCGGCAGTGCCTCCTCCGCCTCCTCTGTCGGGCGCTTGGCACCTCGCTTGGCAGCGGGCCTGCAGCCAGGGGAAGGATCATTAGGGCGTGCGGCAATGGCTCGGGTGCCAGCAGCTTTGCAGGAGCAAAAGGGTTTGGGCAACAGCCTCCAAAAGGCAACGCAACAAGGGCAGAGCAGCTCACTTGGTGGCCTGGGCGGCGGCTGCGGCTTCTGCCGCCTGCTTGGCGGCGCACTCCACACAGAACCAGTCGCCCTTGGGCACGCGCTTGAAGGGCGGGTTGCAGCAGGACAGGTGGCAGGCGTTGTCGCAGCTGTCGCACAGCAGCAGGATGTCGCCCTCATCTGCGCGGCAAGGAGAGGGAGGGGAGGTGAGCGGGCTGGGCCAGGCACAGGCTAAGGCAGCATTCCATCCTGCCTCTGAATCGCTCACCGCCTCTGAATCGCTCACCGCTCTGGCCGCACAGGTGGCAGAAGTCCGCCTCGCCCTCCTCGCCCTCCTCTGCATCACTGATCGCCTCAGCGGCAGCCTCCTGAGCAAGGCCCTGCACCTGCTCAGCCGCCGAGCCGTCAACATCCATGCCAGCCTCCACCACAATTGCCTCCCGCTGCTGCTCCTCCTCTTCCTCTGCTGCAGCTTCAGCTCGCGCTGCCGCCACATGCTCCTCGCTCGCCTCCTCATCTGGCACCGCTACCGCGGCCTCCACCTCGGCTGCCACTGCCGCGGCGGCCGCCACCTCTGGCGCCTGCTGCTCTCCCTCAAACAGCCACCCGGGCAGCTCCACGTTCTCCAGCACAACCCTGGCGCCCCCCTCTGTGCCTGCGCAAGGGCAGAGATTGAGCTGTTATGCAGTGGATGCGCACACGGCGCAAGAGCCACAAGCACGACCGCGTCTAGCGTCGAGACGCCCCCACCACACACATCCACATACCTGGCGCCTCCTTGAGCATCGACTTGGGAAGCTCTGGGACGCCACCGCTGTTTGCTGCACTGGCAGCGCCAGGCGTCTTGCCCTGGGTGGCGGCAGCGGGCCTCTTGCCCTGGGTAGCCACAGCAGGGGTGGCACCTGCTGCCCTGGCAGCGATGGCAGGTGTCCGGCGCTTGGCGGCGCTGGTGACTGGCATGCGGGCACACTTGGCTGCCGATGGGGCGGGCGTCGTGCGGGCCGAGGCGGGCAGGACAACCACCTCTGGGGCAGGGGCCTGTGCCACAGCAGCCGCAGCAGGCGCCTGGCTGGGGCGCACAACCACAACCTGGCCTGCCCGCTGCGCAGTGGATGCTGCGGTGCTGAGCTTGCCCAGCACAATCACCCGCGGCACCCAACCCGCTGCCTGCTCCTCCTCCATCTCAGCCTCCTCCTCGGCATCCTGCATCTCCACCTCAGCCCCCTCGGCAGCCGCCTCTTCGGCCGCCGCCGCCTCCTCCTCCTCTGCCGCACGGTTCAGCACCACCTGCTGCATCGCCTCCTGCAGCTCCTGACGCTTGCCCCGCTCCTCATCCAGTGCGCCGCTGCAGGCGGGGCACAAGGCAGCACACAGGCAAGTGTGGATGCCAAAACCAGACCTGCGAACTATGCCGCAACATGGCATGGAGCAACCCAGGCAATCAACATGGCACTCAAACGGCTGGAGAGTTGCCTCATGGCAAGCCAAGCACCTGCCCCCTCGCACATACCTGAGCGCGGTGGCAGCCTTCTTGAGCTTGGCAGCCTTGGCGGTCATGCGGCGGAGCTGGGCCGCCAGCTGGCGCGCCTCGGCGTGGTAGGCCTTGGCCCTCAGCACCGCCCGCTGGTACTGCTTCAGCGGCACCTGCTCGGCAGCCGCCTCTGCGACAGCCAACAGGGGATGGGATGGGCAGGAAGGGGATGGTGCCCGGTGTGAGGTCAGCACTTTGCAAGGCACGGTCCAGCCAGGGGGCCAGCGCTGGCATGTGGTGGGCAGGGTGCCCGCCCACCTTCCAGCTCCAGCGAGTCATCCTCCACGCTGCCGCCCTCATCCGACCGCTCCTGCTCCACATCGTCCCCACAGTCCTCCGCCTCTGTCTGTACGGCGATGGTGGACAGCAGGCGGGGGGTTGCCTGGCAGGCAGCCTGCACACGCACGCATCCAAGCACACGGGGGAGGATGAGGCCTGCTGATGCAAGAAAGCATGCGTAGGCACGCAAGCAGGCCTCAGCCATGGCGAGCAGGCGAGGCAGCTGCCCGAAAGGCAGGCGCCGCACCTCAGCCGTGGGGCGCTTCGCGCCGCTGGCGGCGCGTGCGCTGGCGGGGGTGGTCTGCTCAATGATGACAATCTTGGTGCCGGGGGTGCGGCTCAGCGAGCGGCGGCGGCTGGCAGACTGCTTCCTGGCGGAGGCCTGGGCGGCAGCCTCGACAGCCAGCAGCACCTCCTCTGGCACCTGGACCTCCCGAGTCTTCTCCAGGCCTGTGTCCTGCTGCGTGCTGGCAGCGGCACATGCGGAAGGAGGAGCCAGAGAGGCACCCACCTGCAAGCGTGACAGCAGCAGTGGCAAAAACACATACTGATCAGTGCATCCAAGCTAGCAACTGCAACAATCCTACAGGGCCTTCCCTCTCCCTGCAAGAGGCTGCCAGCCGACCTGCCCCCTCCCACCTGAGAGAGCCGGGAGCGGCCCGTCGTGCGCGGCGCGCTCTTGGCGGCTGAGGCGGGGGCTGTGTCCTGGGCCTGGCCAATGGTGGAGGCCCCAGGGGTCTTGCCCTTGCTCTTGGGGGTCAGCACGACACGCAGCCCATCCTTGCCGGTGGTGGCGGGCGACTTGAAAAACTCCTGCAGGGACAGAGGCGGCTGGAATGTGAGGGTCCAAACATTTATGCACCTGCACCGACTCTCACACACACCTTGCCTGCCCCACACTCACAACTGGCACCTCCAGGGTCACATCATGCTGCTCCGCCATCTCAGTCAGCTTGGCAGCCAGCGTGGCAGGGTCCAGGACCAGGTCGCCGGCCCCGTCGGCGTGTGATGCTTGCGCGGCGCCGGACGCAGGGGTGGGCGCTGGGGCGGCGGGGCCCATAGCGCCAGGGGTCGCCTGCGCGCCGCAGCTGACAGCAGGTGAGCCGGCCAGCAGCTCTTGCAGCATGCTGCGGACTGCAGGCAGGCAGAGCAGGAGGAGCGACAGCAAGATGTCAGCACCAGCGAGTGTGGGAGCAGTGAACTCCTGTGCCGCATCTGCCAGTCTGTGAGTGCAGCCAGACGCTGGTTTGCCTGCCTCCCTGCCTTGTGAGGAGCACAGAAAGCCGCCGCCGCCGCTGCAGCTGCATGCACTCACCGGGCGTCTTGGAGGCGCTGAAGGGCGCTGCGGTGCTGTGCCTGCTGCGCTTGGACACCACTGTGTCGGGCAGCTCCTCCACGGGCTCCCCCATCGTGCCCAGACCCCACTGCGCCAGCGCCACCGTGTTGTCGTCAACGTTGATGATCTGTGGGCCAGTGCGGGTGGGGTGAGGATTCGAGATGAGAAATGAGGAGTGTTGGCGGGTGTGGTGTTGGCGGGTAAAGGAACGGAGAGAGATGGAGACAAAAACAGCATAGTTGCAGATGGGGAGGGAGGGAAGCAGGCTGGCAGGCACCCCCTGGCAAGCACAAGCTGCACTTGGAACCACCTCCGGCCAGCTCCAGCCAGCCTGCAGCCTGGCCTTGCCTGCTCAATGTCGCCCTTGCGCAGGCGGATGGTGATGGTGGCGTCCCGGGCCGAGCCCTCAGGCGTGCCCGCCACCCGCTGCTGCGCCGTCTCCTCAACATGGAACCTCACGCTCTTGCGCTTGCGCATCACGCTGCCCGGCACGCCAGCGGCCTCTGATGCAGCCGCCGCTGCATCGTCTACTGCTGCCAAAGGTTCTTCAGCAGCAGCGGTCTCAGCTGCCTGTGGCGCAGCAGTATCGGGCATGGCAGCATCGCCACCAACCTCTGGCGGTGCGGCCGCAGGTTCAGCTGCTGCAACAGCAGGCTGCTCTGTTGCCGGCTCCTCGACAGCAGCCTGGGCCTCCTCTGCAGCAACAGGTGCAGCCTCAGGCCTGCCAGCCCCTGCTGTAGCCTCCACCGCCTCAGTCGCCGGCTCAGCAGCGGCGAGATCAGCTGCCAGAGGCACATTGGGCTCTTCCACCACGGCAGCTGCCTCCTCAGTCTCCATTGCCTCTGCATCCACCAGCTGAGCATCCGGCCCAGCAGGTGCTTCAGCAGCAGCGGCATCATCAGCACCCTGCGCCTGCACTGGCGCTGCTGCCTCCTCTTCCAGCTTGGCAGCAGCGGGCCCTGCGGCAGTCTTGCGCAGCCCAGCCTTCAGCTTCAGCAGGTCTGCCGGGGTGGGCACAAACATGCCGCCAGCCGTCACTGCACGTGGCGTGGGCTTGGTGCTCGCCACCTGCACCTTCTTCAGCTGCACGCCAGCCTGTGGATGGATGAACAGGAAGAAGGGTGGCAGGGTCAGCAGCATGCTGCTGAATGGGGACGCGGGAGCGCCCCAGATGATGCCACTATTTGTGTGATGCCGTATGCAGCCCAGAGCACCAAGGAACCGGCAAAAAAAAAGCACTGCAAAAAAAAGCACTGCCTCTCCTGCCTGGTCTAGGCCTTGCCTCCCTGCCCACCCACACCTAATTCCCACCTTAATGGCATCCTGCATCACTGCTGCCATGGAGCGTGCCGAGGCTGGTGGCGGAGCGGGGCGACGGGCTGGACCATCATCGCCCTTGGCCGCGGGCTTGGCCGCCGGCACGGCCGCCAGTGCGGCGTTGGCGTCAGCCAGCGGCGGCCGTGCCGGCGGCGCCCGGATCTGCACCGTCTCATCGTCACCCTGGAAGTAGAAGACGCGGGTGCGGTTCTCCAGCAGCACCTCGATCTTATCGCCCGTGGCCAGCTCCAGGGGTGAGGTCACGGGGGCGCCATTGACGGCCACGGGCTCGCGGCCCATCGAGGAGATGAACACCTGCACGGGGGATGCAGGGGCGCGCCGGACGCAGCACTGTTAGGAGGGCTGCTGCTTGCTGGTGCAGTGGTGGTAAAGGAAGCATCGCGCCAGCACAGCGCCGAGAGAGCGCCGCCGCTCACCGCGCCGTTGTCTTCGACGTAGACTTCCGCATGCTTCCTCGAAATCTCCTTGTTCACGATCCGGATGTCGCAGCTGTGGTCCCTGCATTCAGCAAACCGCGTGAACCTGTGAGCCCGACCGGCTGTCGCCAGCGGCTGGCTGTCGGTCGCCGCCAAGCAACCGCCGGGCAGCACTGCTGGCGCCCTGGCTCGCGGCTTGCCTTCCGATGAGGATGGACTTCTTGTCAAGCGGGAACTCCAGGTCAGCGCAGCCCTCCTTGCCCACAATAATCAATTTTCCATACAGCTCCGTGGCGGCCATTGTGCCATGCTAGTGCAACAGCGACTGTTCCAGCGGGTCCACGGGAACACAGACAGATCAAAAAGTTCGCAGCAGGCAGCTGTCGGTTGGGACAGGTACACATTTGTACCGCAGCGAGGGAGCCAGTCGTGGAGCGGCCCGTAGCATGCCTTCCTCCGAACACAAGAACCTATTGATGTCGACAAATGCGCCACTGCAGGCTTGGATCCGCTGTTGCCACCCCCACCTGTCACCGGCTGGTGCCGATTGTGTGCCGGCCACGGTTCTTCTGGCTCCGAATCCGCTCTGTAAGTCAAGTCCAGTCAAGCGTTCCTGTTCTCCTTGTGAACGGCAGAAACACCTTACTGATGTGTCAGAAGAAGACATGTACCAAGGAGTCACCGAAAGTGAGGCGGGTGAAGAGCAGCGCCGGCGTGGAGCACGGTTCAATGGAGCTGGACACAACGCGCTATACAAGAAGAAGACAGCAACAGGGCGGCGTGCATGGTACAACTAGGAAAATAAATAGGATGGCATGCCGGCCGTGAATGCAGCACGGGTTCAGAGTGGGTGCCCACTGGTGGATGAGCGGCGGGGGTGTGCGGGGCCTGGGCGTCGGTGACCCACGGGGGAAAACAGGCGGTGGGAGCCAAGACAGCAGAGGAGGCAGCAAGGAAAACATGCCGGCGGCCCCCACCTCCCCTGCCAGCAGCGGCGGCAGCCGCGTTCTGGTGGGGGGACGCGGCAGCAGTCAAAAGGGGGGGTAGGAGCGTGATGTGTAGGGAGCGTGGGTCCGCACGGTGTGAAACAGGCTATACAATCATCTTGCCGGAGCCGATCAGGCGGGCCTGCCGCGTCCGAAAAATAGGTCCTGCTCGAGTGGGTTGGTTGACTGGTTGGTCGTGGGTGGGGAAGGGGCGGCGGCGGGGAGGGCTCAAATGCTGGTGGCCATGGGGCAGCGTGCAGGCCAGCGCAGGTTTTGTAGCCCACCCCGCCGGTCCTCCATCTATGGCCAGGCTGGACGCGAGGTGATGATGCGGTGTGTTGGGTGTGCGACCGTGGATGTGGGTCTGCGGCCGCGCCTAGGCGCCCAAGTACGGGCTGCAGCCGCCAAAGGTTTGCCGCTGAGTCGGGGCGCATGGGGCGGGCAGGGTGGGCCTCCCTGCTCCCCCAGGCAGCCGCTGGGCCCGCCTCCTCAGGGCCGCATGCCGGGGGCGCCGCCGCCCGCCCCGCTGCCAGCGGACAGCACGCTGGCAAACTCCTGGAACGCGCTGCGCAGCCTGCGCAGGCCGCCGCTCAGCCGCCGCTTGTTGTTGCCGTTGAGGCCAGACACCTCGGCGCCGGTGCTGCCCTCCGGGGAAGGGCCCTCGGGGCTGGCCATGGCCGCGCCTCCCAGCGGGGTGGCAGGCAGCGGGGTGCCGGGCAGCGAGCTGGCATACTCTGCACAGAGGGAGCAGGGACACTGGTGGTCAGCTAGCGTGCCAGGCTGGGTGCCGGCATGGTAGAAAATTGCATCAAGCAGCGGCAAGGGAGGCCCGGGTGGCGTGGTTTAAAACCAGGAAGCGAAGGCGACCAGCCAGGCCGCGCCCCACCCCAACCCCGCCTCCCGGCCCTGCCCACCTTCCACGGCGGATGTGGTGCGCGAGACGCCGGGCGACGTGAGGCGGCGGGCGGCCGAGACCGAGGCGCAGTGCACCGCCGCGTCATACGCGCCCGACCCTTGCAGCGTCAGCAGGCTCCCATTGTCTACGGCAGTAGGTAGGAAGGGGGGGGCCAGGCCCAGTGAGTGCTGCTGCCAGGTCCCCCCAGGGGGCAGGGCGCTTGGCCACGGCCAGCTGGAGGTGCCTGGCCAGCCAGCGCAGCAGGCAAGGCACCCGAGCAGCCTGATCCTGCCCCTCCCAGGAAGCCATCCACACATCCCATCACAGCATAGGGGCACGGCTGGCGGCCTGCAAGTGCACACCCCAGCAGCGCTGCCCCAGCCCTGCACCACCTGTGGTCGGCTCATCGCAGGTGAAGGTGATGTTGAGCTCCGAGTCGTCGGGCAGGTTGAAGGCGCGGCGGATGGCCTCAGTGAACTGGCGGTAGCCGTCCGGCCCCGGCTTCACCTCAAAGCTGTATGTGCGGCCATCAAAGTTGACATTCATCACCGCGGGCGCATTGGCGCCGCACTGCGGCGTCAATGTGCCCTTCCAGTCTGGCAGCCGCGCATCGCAAAACTCGCAGTGCGTCTCCTTTCTGCGGGGCGGGTGGGACAAAGGGGAAGGGTGAGGGCGGCGCAGGTAGGGGCGCGGCGAGGCATGGGTGCACAGGTGCAGCTGCATGAGCACGGATGGTATGGCAGGTGGCCGGCGCACCTCGACCCCGCAGACTGCAGCTGCCACCGTGCCAAGCATCTAGGGTGCGCCACCCTGCAAAACCGGCAGGTTGGGAACATGTCAGGGGCATGGTGATGCTGCAGGCTCAATGCAGACTTAAGGGGAGGAAGGGCGCAGGGAGGTGCGGCAGCGGGGCGGCACCGCCGCTTGCCTGGGGCAGTGGCAGGGCAGGATGAGCGGCCCCGTGCTGTCCAGGCATATCCAGCACACCGGCGAGTCCTGCATGAAGGGGATGGGAGGGCCAGGCAGCTTGGGTGCCGCGCCCAAGTGGACACTCCCACGACACAGATGTCCACTCTGGGTGGTCGCGTTCGCGGGCCCGCACCCATGCTCATGGCGTCCACAGGAGATGCCGAAGCACTAGGGGAAGTACCCAGGCGAAACAACGCGCCCCAGCGGCATGACCCCCATGGCAGGACGCGCTCTCACCTCGCTGCTGCTAGTGGAGGGAGGGCTGCGCTCCACTTGGGTGGCACTGGCCCCCACGTTTATCCGGGGTGCCCCCCGCCCCTTCTTGTCCTGGCCCTCCATGGCTTTGGTAGGGCTCGGCTCCTTGCAGCCTCAGAGGTTGTGCTATACCTCTAACCTAACTTGCAGAGATGCTGGAAGTGAGGAATCAAGCGGGGACGGGCTGAATTGATGGGGCGTCCGACCCAAGAAATTGCCGACAACTCGGGTGGAAAGGCGGCGTTTTTCCTCGTCCCTGCTGACCCCTGGTCGCCGTTCCCCCTCCCCCAACCCGGCGACACTTGCAACGTGGGCAGGAAGGGTGAAGGGGCGCGATGGACGCCAGCCCGGCGGGCAGCGAAGGGGCGGCAAGCCCAGGCTCCAAGGGCCCCACCGCGCTGGTGAGCAACGCAGCCAGACATTGTCCATCAGCATCGGGCAGTAGCAGCGCTCCCCCGCCTGCCACCGCTCCCGCCGCCTGCCGCCACCGCGCGATGCCCCTCCCGCCCTCGTAAACAGATCATCACTGTCAACCGTGTGAAGAACCTGGTGAAGGAGGATGCCGAGATCAAGAGCATCTCCACAGAGGCCTGCTTTGCGGTGGCCAAGGCCACCGAGCTCTTCCTGGAGGGCCTGGCCAGCAAGGCGGCAGCACACATGCAGGCGGCGGGGCGCGCCGACTCGCTCGAGTATGCCGATGTGGCGGCGGTGGTGGCGGAGAGCGAGGCGCTGGACTTTCTTGGGGATGTCGTTCCGCAGACTGTCAAGGCTGCGGCCCTGCTAGCCTCCGCATGATGCCCGCATGGCACGGCAGCCACCGTCGCTTTGCGTCTACACCAGGCCTTTGCCTCGATCACTTTACCATCGGCAGGCAGCCGCTGCTGCAGCAGCGTACCTGCAACTGCATTGTGGCTGCTCTTGTGACGCTCGCCTTTCCCTCGCTTGACACTGCCCTCCGCTTAACGCTGCCTCGCTCTCCTTTGTTGCACTCCAACACTGTCGTATGCATTGCTCTCTTGTTAATCATCCATGCAGCCGTGTAATTCTGGCTCTGCAAGCCCTCAAGGGGGGAGTTTGACAGACTAGCGGGAAGCCCATAGTGTTTTGATCGAAATCGGGCAGAGTTGCTGCCGGCCACCGGCGCTTGCGCCCGCCACTGGAGGCGCCAATTCTATTGTCCCTGCCACCCATGCCTTTCAGCCGTGCATTTCCTTACATCCCATCCCATAGGCGCGAGTATCCCCACTGCACTTCTCTCAGCCTGCAGGGTTTGTCCGGGGTGCTTGCACCAAGCGTAAGCGCCTGACCCGGGCTTGGCTTAAAAACACATGCAATGGCTGATGACGAGGTGAGGGATGGCGCAGCGCAAGGAGGCGCAAGGATGCTCAACAGCACCGCCAACAGTGGGGCCTCCTCTATTAGCGCCTCCGCAAGCAGAGGATAATTACCCAAAAGTGGTGGCGACGCACGGCAATGCGCAGCATGACGGTGGAGGTGACAGGCGTCCACCGCTCCCGCCCACCAGCAGGCGCCGCCACCCTTGCAGGGCGGCTACGCGGCGTTCATGGCCCAGCAGCTGAGGCAGGATGACATGGGCGAGTCCGCTGGGTTTCTTATCAGTAAGTGGGCTAGGTATTGGACCAAACTACCTCTCTGCTTGGCCATACTGCGCTCCCCCGCTCATGTAGCGCCGCCTGTGGTATTGTGCACCTCGAGTTTGTTTCCAAACCTGCTTGGTTGCGCTCATGCCTCCCTGCATTTGACGTACAGCCACCGTTCTCTGCTGGATCATTATGATTGCCAAAGGCCTGTGGGATGGCTACTCGCAAGTTTTTATAAGTTGGTCCCTCAGTAAGCAGGCGGGGGAAGCTGTTTGCAGCCTATTGTGCTGGGTGGATGGCTGCTGGGATTGCCCTGTAACACAGCCTGTGTGGTTCCTGCGTTGCTTGCAGTGCAGGTCACCAGCGCTGTGATTCCTGGCCTGGTTGCCTCCAGGATGCCCGCCTTCTTTAGCCGCCACCGAGAGGCGGTGGTCATGGCCTGCAAGCTACTGGCTGCCGCTGGCTGGCCCCGGTTCCGCCTGGCCTGGCATGCCCCAGGCACCCCACCAGATGCGCGGGCAGCCTTTGGAGGCTTCTCATGGTTGCCGGTGCACCCATTTGGACTTGTGCAGACGGGCGCCTTGCAAATGCTGACCCTGTCTGTGCGCCACGCCCTGCGCTTCAAGGCGCAGCTATTTTGTTCGTTGGTCATGCTGTTTTCGGTGATGCAGGCTGAGAAGGTGAGCACTGCTGGCAAAGCTTCTGGTGTGCATGCATCCACACAGCCATTCAGACCACCGGTGCTGTTCCTGCAAACAGGTGGCCGGGTTTACACCCCACTTGCATGCTTCCGTGCAGGCAGCTCGGCTGCACAGCACCTTGCCGCTGCAGCACTTCATGCCGTGGGGCATGTCGACGACACTGCAGCTGGTGGCAGGCCTCCTGGGGCCGCTGGCGCACCACTACACCCAAGACAGCGTGCGGAGGCGGCACTACCAAGCGATGAAGCGGCAGCAAATTGAGCACCAGCAGCGACAGGGCACTTGATTTAAAGCCTTTGTTACATTACAAAATAAGATCAACAGTTGCTTGAAGCAATGAGTAAGGACAGTGGAAAAGAGGAGGGCGGGCGGCTGCTGGCCACAGCACGGAGCATGGGAGTCGCGCATGGCATTGGGTCGTGCCTGGCCTGTCATTCAACGGCGAGATAGTGAATAGTTTGCCAGACAACGCAGCCAAGAGCGTTGGAACCTGGGAACAGTCAGTAGTAAGCAGAAACGCAGAGAGCTGGTAGGGCGATGAAGGGAGGGCAAATGGGGTGCAGGGAAAACTGTGGCCGCAATGGATGCTTGTGAGCTGGCGGTGCCAAAGCTATGAAAGAGATGGACGAGATGAGGGAGGAGAGGATGGGGTTGGGGGCCTCTCGTTCAAACCGGAAAGGCACCAACAGGGAGGTGAGGGGTGGTAAAGGGCACTGTGGGCAACAGGGGAAGTAGAGGAAAGAAGCCTATGGGCGAGAAAGGTGAAAGGAGTGGGGAAGGGTGCGTGGCATGGCATTGATTGGTGGGCGTGCCTTGAGATGGTTGATTGGTAACGCATTGAGATGTGGAGGTTTCAAGACAAGTACAAAGCGTACGGGCTCCAGCTAATCGATAAATGCCGGCCAGCATGCAGGCCCAGCAACAAAGTTTGGCAGCACTGCTTCAAACGGCAGCGCCGCAGCGCACGGAATGCTTTCTGCGGGTGCGGGCACAGGTGGCGCTGTGCCTAGCCCGCCAGCGGCGAGGCCTCCTGCATGCTGGAGTGGCCCTTTCGCGGGTCGCCCAGGCAGGCTGCCGCCCGCCTGCTCCTCAGGAAGCAGAAGCGCAGGCGGTCCTCGCGGTGGTACACCAGGAGCGAGGACAGCAGGAAGCCAATGAGAAGCTGGGCCACCAGGGCCAGCGACAGCGATGCCGCCAGGCCTGCCTCTGCGGCGCTGCCCGCACGCAACATGTGTGCCAGGCTGGTGCCGGCGGCGACGATCCACAGGCACAGCAGGTGGAGAGGCAGGTGGAGGGAGAAGGGGAGGGGCAGCCTGCAGAGCGGCGGAGGATAGGACAGCGAGGCATGAGGCGATGGGTCACAACATTCTCTGGCCTGGGCTGCAAGCAGAGCAACCCCAGCCCCTGCGTGTATACGGTTGTGCAGCAGCGCACCTGAGAGGCAGCAGGCAGAGGGCCGCGGCGCCGCTGTGCCCAAACATGGCCTCGGGCCAGGTGAGGGCACCCACACGGTTGCCCCCAGCTGCGACCACCAGGTGCGCCGCAAAGAGCACCGTGGCCAGCAGGCGCAGCGCCGCCAGGGAGGCTGTGCGGCGAGGGGACCACCACCGCCCGCAGTGGGAGGAGGGGATGGAGGGAGCGGCCATCAGCAGCACGCCTGCAGCCAGGGGAGGCAGGCGTGCAGCCCGGGCGGCTCAGATGAAGGCGCCGTCGAGGCTGCCAGCCAATGTTGCCCGCAGCTTGCAACAATCGCACTGACGCATGGGCACGCCTCCCTGCGAGCATGTCAACGGCCCTGCGAGGGCTTCCACAGGCGGCTGCTCAGCATCCGGCGGCCCTCACCTGCCAGGGACAGCAGGCTGGCGGCGGTGGGGCCGTGCACCGCCATTTTGACGATTGTGGATGCGCCCACAATGGCGTGCACAATGCTCAGGCTGGTGTCGCTGCGCTGCAGGTAGGGCGCCAGCCAGGCCCTGCGGGCGCGGCGGGTGGGACAGGAGGCACACGACGGCTCAGAGAGGGAGAGGCGATGCAGCAGATGTGCCTGCCCAGCCAGGTGCTGCTGGCTGGGTGAAGAGGCAAGGGTGCGGCAGGCCGGACGCCAGCTCCCGCTGAGCCCCCCCACCTGTAGCCAGCTTCCAGCTGCGGCACATTGAAGCTGAGGTCCCAGTGCTGGCTGCCGGCTGGGCAGGCGGCCGTCACCGCGGTGATCTCGGAGCACTTGGAGGCCAGGCTGCTGAAGGCCAGGCTGCCGCTCTTGAGCCCGCTGCTGCTGGGCCCCGCCAGCTGCTTCTCAGCCAGGCAGCTGCTGCTGGCCTTGCCCAGCCCGCAGCTGCTGGGCAGGGCTGGCTTGCGCGGGCTGTCCAGCGGGCAGGCACCTTCCTGGTCGCCGCTGGACAGCGGGTTGCTGAGCGGCTTGGCGGCCCACGGCACCCGCACCGAGGCAGCGACCTTGGCGGGCGAGGCGCCAAACCCGCCGTCGCGCTTGGAGGCGGCGGCACCGCCGGCCAGCTCCCCTGCCGCCGGCGCCGCTGCCGCGGCTGCGGCCGAGTCGACCACGGCCTGCGTGGTGGCGTGCTGCACCGCGGCCGGCAGGCCCCCCGCCTCCTCCATCTCCTCCATGCAGGCAGTGGCCGCCGCAATGGTGTGCTCCAGCGGCACCGCGGGGCGCATGTGCGCGGAATGGGCGCGCTCGGGGGCCATGCTGGGTCTGCAGGCAGGCACAAGAGCAGCAGGGTGATCGCAGGCCCGGCAGCCGCACGCCCAGCATGCAGGGCGCCAGGCGCCACCTGCCAAACCCTCTCGCTCGCGCGCCACCACGCCCACTGGACCAAGCACCTGCGGTCCAGCGAGCAGCGCTGGTCCTCCTCCAGAATGTCCTCAAACCCCTCCACTGCAAGCGGGGGCAGCGGCAGCCGCAGCAGATGAAACCTCATGCCCCGCTCGCAGGGACAGGCAGGCAGGT